ATGCTCATGATAGAAACTTTGTATAGCCCAAAAGATCCTTCATACAAAAATGGATTTTCCTATGTAGTTGGTGACATTTGTTCATGAAAATGATGTTTGTTTCAACATAAAATCAAAGGCTATTTGGTGAGGTGGCTATGTTGAAACAAATATTGCAACAGTTCTTGTGTCACTCTGAGCCATGTTGGGTATTGTACAGCCCTCCCTGTGTTATTGAACTACAACTTGTTTCTTGCCATGGCCACACCTGTTAGTGCCACTTGGGATTTATAATGACTATATATATATATTCATGTATAAGTCTACTTCCTGTATAAGTCAAGGACAAGTTTGGGCGCTAATATTATGGATTTTGATATGACCCATGGATCATTCAGTACAGAAAGGAAAGCACTACTGCTGCTTCAGGGGTCAGCTGTGCCTTGCTGTCACTGCCATTTTTCTATTGAGGTATTCAAAAAAAGCCATAAGCAGTATCATATTGGTGAAAGTAGGTGGGTTGCATGTGTCTTTTAGGTTCTCCTGGGATGGATTAAACTCTTGCGTTTTACTACTCTACTCAGAGAAGAGCAATGAGTCAACCAGGGGTTTTTTTTTGGTTGATTTTTGGCTAGGATTTCTAGACTTATACACAAGTATATAGGATGTTTGCTTTGATCAGATTGTATGATTCTTTTGCTAAGAAAGGGTGAAAGTGTTTGTGACTTTCCCTTTTCATTCTAGAAAGAAATGTGTCTTTTAGATAGGATGTTGGTGTGGGAGCTGACATTCTTCTTTCTATTTTGTTGCAAAGCAAGCGTATAGCTCATCTTGCTCCAGGACCAGGACTGTAACTAATTAAGAAGTTGGTGTATACAGCTTATGTTGATTTTAACAGTGGCCGACCAACACATGTCAGGAGTACATATCTTACTCCTGGACTGTTCTTGCAATGCATTTGCTCTCCACCTGAACAAACAGTCTTTGCAAGAGAATTTGCCAGACATTATCTTGGGAACTAGTGCTTCAGTGGCCTCTGAAAAAAGCTGAGGGTGTTTTGATGGCCACTCACTTCCTGCTTGAAGAAGTTAGTTACAATCATCACAGTTTGCTTTATGAAGCACAACATGATTCCAAAAATTGCCAAACACTCAGTTTACATCAAGAACCATTTTTAACAGGGATTTTTTAAACTAGAAAACCATGCTCAGATTAATATGAAGTAAAGCGTATGCTGATTTATTACAGCAGTTGCTAGGGTACACATTTATTTATTTATTTATTTCAAACACTTCTATCCTGCCTTTCTCAACCCCCTAGGGGGGACTCAGGGCGGCTTCCAGCCGGCACATATTTGATGCTACAATTCAATACAATAAATAACATAACAACAATAAACATCAATAGTTAAAACATTAAATTAATACAATAAAATCTCCTAAAATGGCAATTTGCATCCATAAGTTGACCAGTCCAGCTTGCTTCCTTTTTTCATTTTATGGCAGACTTAGGTGCAAAAGCATGGTGTAGAGGCAGAATTGGCTTCTCTCTGTCAAATAATATTGCATCATCTTACTTTCCTTTTGAAACATAATGAGCTGCTTTTATTTGGTCAGATTATTAGTCCATCTAAATTGATAGATACCATCTGTGACAAATATGGTGGCTATGAATACTGTCCCCCACCCTAGTGTTTGGAGATGCCAGTTACGCCACATGGAGATACAATCACAGGTACATAGATTCTCACTGTGTGAGAGTTATACACACAGTGATGCATTGGGATCAGGTTTTATCTGTGCCCTTACAGATGATTCAAGGCATCTCTTGGGCATTTAGTGAAAGTAAAGATTTTAACTTTACCATAGCCCAACAGACTGATAATAAAGACAGAAGGTGGGAAGGCCCATGCTTAACAGCAAATGTGAATTTGTTTTATGCAACCATCTCTTTTTGATATAGCTCCATAGACAGGATCTGGAATGCATCCACGAAGACTTTGCAAGGTTTAAATGTTTAAATGTTGCTTTCTTTGTACATAAACATATTTGAATATTAATAGAATGAAAAGGGATGTGCAGAGATCCATTCCTGTTTGAAGCTTAGTTTTGTGTGTGATGCTTATAGCAGGTGGTGCCTTAATAGAGTTTTGCTGTATTAACGTTTCTTTTTCTCAATTAACAAAGTCTGGCCAGTACTGTAAGTTGATACTAGATGAAGGTCAACCGTGCAATTTCTCCCTCCTCCCCATTCTCATTTCAGGAAAACCAAAAATAACTTCTACCATTTGGAACAAACATCACCTCTTTAGCATCAGAAGGAGAGTCTCCCCCTCCTACATCTAGTTGTGAAAAAGCCTGCTGAAAAGACTTATCAATAAATATTCACAGAGAGACATTTAGCACTGGCCTACCCACTGGGATTAAGGTGTAACCTTACCTTCTAAAGCAAACTCTGGTATTCCTGGAAAAGCCATGATCTTTTGAAGTTGCACCACCTGTTTTATTCTATCATTTCTCACTAGTGCATAGAGGGAAAAAAAAACAGTGTCTTGTTTTCTTCCTAACTGCATTCTTGGCTTAAATTGTGAGCAATGATTGACAGGTAGCAATCAAGACAAGATTTTTTTTCCAGATTGGCTGTGTTGTTTCTCTATGAAATAAAATTTAAGACTAAGGCCCTGGTTCTAGAGTGTTATCTGAGATTAGTAGAAACACTGTAGTGTTATGGTTTGAATGGTGGATTAGGACATAGGAGACCAGGGTTTGAATCCTCTCTCAGCCATGGAAACCGACTGGGTGACTTGGACAAAGCACACTCTTCTAGCTTCAGAATAAGGCAGGACAAACTCCCTTTGAACAATTCCCCAAGAAAACCCTGTGATAGGTTCTCCTTAGGGATCGATATAACTCAGAAATGACTTAAAGGCACGCAACAACAACAAAGTGGAGTGTAGGAGCCAAACAATATATTTCATTATATGCATTATATGCATCCTTTCACTACTCAGGAAGAAATTTGTGTGGGTCTCGTTCTCTTCCCAAAATATCCCACCCCATGACAATTGAAGAAAGACCTCCATTATACCAATGAAAGCTGCTTCTATTTTTAAATGAGGGAGTTTTAGAAAGTATCAGGAGAAAGAAGGGTTAAACATTCACTCACTCTATGTAGTGACATTATCTGGATGGAGATTTTGCATGCTTATTTTGGAGAAAAAGAAAAAGAAGAGGAAAAGTTATCTTTAGTTATATTGAACACAGCGGGGCTCATTATTTCAAGTAACGTGTGCAGACAAGTTAGGCATTTTGAATACCAACAGGATATATCCCTCCTCCTAAGTTTGTATAATTAATACATTATATGTTCAAAGGAATTAGAGAGGAAGTGGCAGAAATAAACATGAGCTTGTGATGACAATATCTTAGAGACCTTTAATGTATCTTTCAACTTATACCATTGGTCACTTTAAATAACATCACCTCAATCAATGTACTGTCCCAAATAAAATTCCATTTTTATGCAACATAGTCCAGCCCCCATCATTGTAATGTAATATTTTTTTTGTCGTGTCAGGAGCAACTTGAGAAACTGCAAGTCGCTTCTGTTGTGAGAGAATTGGCCGTCTGCAAGGACGTTGCTCAAGGGACGCCTGGATGATTTTGATGTTTTTATCATCCTTGTGGGAGGCTTCTCTCATGTCCCCACATGAGGACCTGGAGCTGATAGAGGGAGCTCATCCGCCTCTCCCTGGATTTGAACCTGTGACCTGTCGGTCTTCAGTCCTGCCGACACAGGGGTTTAACCCACTGCGCCACCAGGGGCTCCCTATTGTAATCTAATCATTGTAATGTAATGAGCTCAAGAATTACTAATAATATACATATCTGCCAATATTTAATGGGCATACTAACATTACAAACACATCACATTGACATGTGAGCATGGAGGCAGGTTGCAGGTGGTGGATATATTGAAAAATCACTTTAGTTTTTATATACAGGCGGTCCCCAAGTTACAAATGACTCATAGTTACAAACAGGGGTGAGAAAAATCTACCCCTAGGAAAGGAAATTCACTCCTGAAAGAGTTATCATGGGGAAAAGATGTCTCCACAGAAGCTTTATCACCACTCCTTGTATCCACAACAAGCCAGATTTTTGAAAATCCAATTATCACAGGGACAAATAGAGTGGTGAAATCTTCTGAACAGAGGCACAGACAGTGAAACAAATACCACAGGGGTGTTAACTCTTTCCTATGTTATCAAAAGCTCTATCTATCTATCTATCTATCTGGCTGGAGTTACACTTAAAAATGTGCCTGTTCCGTCTTACAAACAAATTCAACTTAAGAACAATCCACAGAATCTATCTTGTTTCTATTTTGGAAATTGCCTGTATTGTGTCATTAGATGAATCCATTCTTAAAATCATTTGGCATCAAATCCAACACATTTCTGAATATGTGGAGGGAGGGGAAATGTTTACTAAACGATGTTGTCATAAATAAAGTTAGTATGGACCCTTGATTTCAGAAATTAGCTTTGCTATACTTTAGCTTTGCTATCGCTAGCAAGATACAATTAATGGAAAATAAAAAAAGTACTCCCCCCCCCCCCCAAAGGACACCTGTTGGGAAGTTCAAGGGGAAAACCAGAGAACATGCTGGGTGATGTTCATATATACTGCTGGATTTCAGTCATCATTCCCCATCTTGTGTTGGGGTAAAGTGTCAGTCTTGCAATGTGAACAGATAACTGTAAAGAAGCTTTCTTCCTATTCTATCCAGTGGATAGTTCTGTGTAACTTAAAAGTTTCTCTATTCCATTCTGTTGATGGATATTACTTCATCTCATTTTAAGAATTTCCAGTAATTTTATTCCCTCTCTCCTGAACATTAGCCCAGAGCCAAATCAAAATGATGAGATACTGTTTCTGTTGTTTGTACTTGTTTTATTTTGCAACCTAAGGAGAGGAAAAAGTAGATCACGTCAGATTCTTCTCAATTTTGCATTATAGGAATCGCAACAAGATCCATAGCATTGAAGCGAGCCAACTGGAGCCTTATGTTGCCCTGGAAACATTGGATCTGAGCTCAAATAACATCACAGAAATCCGAAGTGGCTGTTTCCCAGTCGGGCTTCGTATTAAGGAACTGTAAGTGCGCTTTTTCTATAAAAAAAATTATGGGAAAATATCCATTTGTACAGAAAGGACTGACATTAAGATACTTTGACTTGTGTTGCTCATGGGTTATAATAGACAATTGACGCCTCCCCTTGAGCTTCTGTTTCAAATCTGTGTCCTCTGCCCCTCTTCCAGCTACTGTTTGGCCTTTCTTGGCCATCAGTGGGGTTTTGGATGACCTTGCGATCTTGAAGCCTGCCTATGGCTTTTTTTCACATGCCTATGAGTAGACTGAAAGTAATTCCTATTTAATAATTAGAAATTGTGATAGAGAAAAGCTGCTTTAAACCCCATTGTTCCCAAGTTGTGCCTGTGGGGTTGCAGTGGGTTTTCCCCCTTGTTATTGTTATGGATTTTTGTCTAGAGACTGACATAGAACATATAAGCTGTTGATTCCTTTGGGATATTGAAGATTGAAAATAGGCTTTCTCTCTTCCTTTGGCACCATTTAGGCAGATCATAAGAGAACCCTTAAGATACTATTGGATCATAGAATCATAGAACCTTAAGAGTTCTCATATCATTGTGCTTTTGATTAGACAGTTCCCCAGATAACTTTGCCCCCCCCCCCTTGCCGGTATGACCCAAAACCTAGTCCTTGCACTTTACTACTGTTCCCCATCCATAGACGTAGTTCTCTACCTCATATTTCCCTCTATTCCTAATTTTGTCATCTGGCTTTTGCACTTTATCCATCAGCCCTGTCCTTACAACTGACTTGCACCATCCTGCCCACCTGACCCCAGAAACTGTTTACTATATCAGGCTATTGATTGTTTGATGGTTTTTTTATACTGCATTATGATGTTGTTTGTTTTATGATGTTGTTTTATGAAATTTATTGTGTTATATTTTAAACTATGTTAATCAAACTTGTCCCCATGTAAACCGTCCCAAGTCCCTTCAGGGAGATGGGGGCGAAATACAAAATAAAGTAGTTATGATTATTTTTTTATCAGCTGCCTAAAATGTTCTAAAGGAAGGAAAAAACTTTTTCTGATCAGCAATGGAGGGGGGATGCAGATGTGTTGTGTCTATTATTGCTCAGCCACTCAAATCCAGAATGACTGACCTGAGACCTCTGACATAACCGTTTGGATGTTCTGTGATGAATTTTTTTGCAGCTCTCTGGGGAGCAACAGAATCAGCATCCTTGAGACCAAGGCTTTTGATAGCCTGTCGGAATCCCTGCTAACACTTCGCCTGAGTAAAAACAGGATCAGCCAGATTCCTGTTAAAGGATTCAAGCTGCACAGGCTAATGCAACTGTGAGTAGAAATGTGCACTTTAATTATGGCTAACCAAGGTTTATGGAGACAAACGTTCCCTAAGGACATACTCACCAAGTGCAATCATTCTTTCACCCTGCGCCTGTAAAACATTGAATAAACTATATTTTAATGGCCCAATGGCGGCACCTAATAAAACAAATCAGAAATAGGGAGAGGAGATTGGTGGTCCCACAGGCACATCACACTCTTTACAAAACAACAAAAATCCTTCAAAATTAATTATTGCATTAGTTATCTCAAAAAGTATCATTTCTGCCCCCATTGCACTCAAAGTGAATATTTTTCTCGCTTCTTTTTATTTTCCCCTTTGTTTTACAAAAAGACAGTGAATGCAAAGCAGGTCGGCAGGCTTTCTCAGACCCTGATTTCAGGACCACACATGTGTCTTTATGTAGTAATAAACTTTAACCAGGAAAGGCCATTAAAGTACACAGTTGACATGTAGATGGACAAAATGGTGCTTTTGATGAGTTTGCACACACTTTGTTTCTCTAGCTAGGATATAGTACCAGATTGCATTTGATCATAAATACACATTTGCATCTGTAAAGGTTCTTTATGTCTATATAATTGACCTTTGCCTTTGACATTTGCTTGTTGCTTTCTAGAACTTTGGAACCTGACTCAAAGTCTAGATCACACAATTTGGAATAGAATTTTAAGAAAGAAGGAAAATATGAATTGGTAGGAAAAAAATGACTTGTTGAAATGTCTGGGTCCTGCTTCAATTTTTATTTAGATTTTTAAAAATCAGATCCATGGTTGTTATTTATCTCTAGCGTTTGAACTGATTCTTTGTGTAGTTGTAAGAGACATTTAAATTTTGTATCTGAAAACCTTTGCAGTCTTCCTCACTTAGTAAATATAGTTATTTATTAAACATGTTTACTGTGTGAATGTCTTGAGCTACTATAGACAAATTTAAAAGTCAGAACAAAGGAAAGGCCGGGTTAGAATATAATGTCTGTGAATATGTTGGATCAAGATTGAATTGATTCAAAAAGCAGCCCCCAAGATTACTCTCCCCACTTTCGCAGGCAGATGTGGGAATGTTCAATGCCTGGCTGTTGGCTGGTGTGTTTGTGAGACTGAGGGCACTGTAAAAGATTGGATTAACCAATATATGTGGATTTTTTTTCTTAAATTTTAGAGAACTAAACCGAAATCGCATTCGTCAGATAGATGGCCTGACATTTCAAGGCCTGGAGAGTTTAGAAGTTCTGAAGTTGCAGCGTAACAACATAAGCAAACTGACTGATGGAGCTTTCTGGGGTCTGGCCAAAATGCAAGTTCTGTAAGTTGAAATACGGTTTTAGTGATCATAGGTTATAGTGATTTGGCCATTTCTTTTCCAGACATGAGTAATCCTATCATGTAGTAGCAAAGCTGTAAACAACGAGATTTGTATCTGAAAGGTGTAAATATAGTAACATCTTTTTGGAACACTTTTGTACACATATATCTTAATATGGTGGGACTTAGTACTTGGTATGCATGCATAGGAAATATGCTGTTACTTTAGAAGTTAGGAGGAACAGTAAGAAATTGAGGGATAGTAGTCATAGAATCACAGAGTTGGAAGAGACCTCATGAGCCATCCATTCCAACCCCCTGCCAAGAAGCAGGAAAATCACATTCAAAGCACCCCGACAGATGGCCATCCAGCCTTTGTGTAAAAGCCTCCAAAAAAGTCCTCCTTGCAGGGGATTTTGTAGCATTTTAAGATGATGTACATTGGCTTTGATGGACAACAATTCAACAAACACACAAAGTTATATTGCAGAGTTAGAATACAAATTATGAATAGAAAGATCAACAATTTAATATATGTAGATTATCAACAATATCACATTAGAATTCTAAAGCGCAGGTGTCCATTTCCCAATTGCCTGTTTTGCTCCTGCAGAATTCTGGGAAATGTAGTTTAGGGAAGCCAAGGACCTCTGGCTGAGAATTCCAAACACAGACTTGAACTTTAGAGCTCTAATGTGATAACATTGTGTCATATTACTTGCAAAAATAGCAAAGATTTAGAATGATTCTTGATGTAAGTTAAATAAATAAGTGCAAAAACTGGGTTTCATTTGAATATTAAGAACAACAATAATGAGATTATTTACATAACTTTGAAGTGGGTAATAAAGGCATTGAAATAGTTAATTTTTGTATATTATCTCATTCTTTGAACAAAACTGAGACTTCAGTCAAGAAATCAGAAGTCCAGGACTCAAAGCTACAACTATGAAGGAACTAGATAAGATTCTGAAGTCTAAAGATACACCATGGAATACCAATATATAGTTCTTCAGTGCCATAGTATTTACAATTTCTGTGTATAATAGTTGAAGTTGAAAAGTGAACAAATGTGATAGGAAGACAATTAACTGATTTGAAATATGGTGTTAGAGGAGAGTTCTAGAGATACCATTGACTACTGAAAGAAAAAATGGTTCTAAAGCAAATTATGTCTGACATCTCCCTGGATGACTAAACTATTGTACTTTGGACATATAATGAGGCAGAGTGAATCACAGGAAAAGAGGAAGACTGTATCATATACGGAAAGAACCAAGGAAGACACAGCTATGAGTTTGGAAGACCTGAGCAGACTCTTGAAGGTTTTTAATTCATAGTGTCACCATACACCAGAGTTGTCTTGATGAGAACTAAGAACAAGAAACAAGACAAACAATAGCATGCTAAAACCAGTGGTAGGATGAGGAGAAAACTACAATAACATGTCCTTGATTTAAAATAAACTAATGAATAATAGAAGGAAGACACTGGATAGAATTGTTTTTATAATAAATTTGTCATTGGATGAGTTGTTTTAAAAACCACTGTTAGCTTTGGGTTTATGTGTAACCATCATGGTCTTCTCCCTAGCCACCTGGAGTACAACGCTCTTGTAGAAGTGAACAGCGGCTCCCTGTATGGCCTTGCATCTCTACAACAGATTCATCTTAATAATAACTTGATATCACACATCAGCCCTGCTGGATGGAACTTCTGTCAGAAGCTGACTGAACTGTGAGTTGACTTACTTGAGTTCCTATATTGGGAGAGAGTTGGGATAAAAATTGAATATATAAATAAAATACTTTGGGGTTAACGGTCAAAGTATTCCTGCTATGAGCTATTCATCAGACTGTATCTGAAAATGTTTTGACTGGTACTGGTGACACAAATTATATCTCACCAGTTTTCAATTAACTTCGTAGATTGCCCCTTTGTTTTAGGACCCAATTCAGAGCTTACTTTTCCAGACACTAAATAGCATTGGAGTCACATATTTTAATGTGGACTTTGCTTCTGTATCAACCTACCAGTTACATGAAGGTCATTAGCAGATATCCGTCTCCAGATGTAGTTTGTTTCAATGTGAGAGAAAACTGTCTCACTACGAGGCTCTGCATAGGGAATGCTCCCCCTGCTCAGAAATTATGCATGGCACCAACTTTATGTTCTTCAGATGCCAGACAAAACCTTTTCTACTTTTCCAGGCAGTGTAAAAGGTTTTACTGTTTTAAATATTTAAATCTTTTATTTTTAATTGTGTGTTAGGGTATTATGTGTTCTTTCTGTTTGATTTTTGTTGAACTGCCTTCAGATATTGCCTAAAAGTGTGTGTGTGTGTGTATGTGTGTGTGTGTGTGTGTGTGTGTGTGGAGAGAGAGAGAATAGACAGATAGATAGATATAGATATAGATATAGATGGACTGGAAAATACTAGAGTGAACTCTTTTCCAGTGGTTGTTCTGTCTCAGATATTGTATACAAAGTTACCCATTACTTGCATATGAAAACAGTTCCCTAACAATATTAATAGTTGGCATCCTCATTAGTTTACGTGGGTGCATCTGCCTAAATGTGTGCAAGGTCATGCATCTTTCCAGTCACTTGCAGTCATATTGATGGATACTCTGAAATTGGCTTTTCCTGCCAATAGATGATGTCAGAAAAGAAACATGCCTCTGCCAGTTCTGACAGAAACCCCCATGCTGCATATCAAAGGAAATATTTTTTCCAGCCAAGTTTAGCATTACCTGTTTGCATTTGATTTCTCCTTCTCTTGCAACCACCTTGAAAATTCTTTCATCACAGGTGAGGACATAATTTTGACTAGGTGCCAATTCTGCATAATTCAATGCTACAGCCTTTTTGAAACAAATGTGTGCTGCCCTATGCCTTCTTGAAAGCCATTAGTCTCTTATGAATTTTTTGCAATGCTTTTACTAGCACTATTATCACTTTTGTTCACATTTACAAAAGATATAGAGTATGTTTGCCAAAGAAACGACATTCAAAGTACTTGAAAATGTGTCCATTTTGACTTGGACTCTAACATGTGCTATTAACTTCCATGTTTACCCTTGATGTTTTTCTCACTCATAGTACTAAAAACATTGGTTAGAGCAAAAACTTCAAGAGAAATATGGAAGTTTAGAAGGGAGAAAATTATATATAGTCTCTCCTGTTACATTATAACAGAAGCTGAATAATTCATGAAACTGCGGTGTCTGCTAGCGATGTTCTCTTCTTTATACATTTTTTCTTGTCTCCCCACACTGAATCGCTCTGAAGAAACTAAGCCATAACTTTACGAACCACCACGAAGACTTAAGGTTTTCTGTGGAGGCCCTGCTCTTGGTCCCACCACAGTCACAGGCACGTTTGGCAGGGAAGAGAGACAAGGCCTTCTCAGTGATTGCCCCCTGGTTATGGAACTCCCTTCCTGGCAATATTAGATCAGCCCCCTCCCTCCTATCTTTCAGAAGGATGGTGAAGACCTGGCTGTGGGACCAAGCCTTTGGGGCAGTGCAATGAGGCAATAATGGAATGGTGTCCTGAGATGGGTTTTAAGCAACTGATTTTAAAGTGGATATAAGTGATTTTAATGTTTGTGTATGATTATGATTTTATGTCCCTGCATTGAATGTTTGCCATATGTATGTTGTGCTCCGCCCTCAGTCCCCTGCGGGGTGAGAAAGGCAGAATATAAATGCTTTAAATAAATAAATAAATAAATAAATAAATAAACTAATCAGTTGCAAGTTCCATAGTGTAATAAAGTTTCAGAATGGTGGCTAATGTAAAATAACTTTTTATAGCTGGCAAGACAAGTGTTATAGTACTTGAAAGAACCCCAAATTCGTAAGGTCTGGAATTAAACAAGAGCCCTTTTGTACCTCTGGGTCAATAGTGCTCTCACTGATGTTGTGCTGCTCAGAGGTTTCCGTGGAGAAGCACATTCCAAGATCAAAAGTGTGCTATCAAAAGTACACCTTCCCTGAAGGGAAAAAAGATTAGAAAACTGTAATTGCTTTCACCTCATAATTAGTAATTCGCTCCATAATTGGTGCTCCCCTTTGTTCTCTTGGGTAGAAGAAACAAGTGGAGACTACAAGCTGGCAGGACTGAGCAGTAGAATAGCATCAGAAAATATCTGCTTCATTTTTTTTCAATGACAAACCCCAAGAGAGCATTCTCTCAAGTGCCTTTGTTTAATAAGCTTATATGTATGTGGAAAATGACAGCTTCTATTATTCCATGTGCTTAGTATGAGGAGATGATGCTCAAAGGTCCCCAGAAAGAAAAGGAATCCACTGCAACCCTACCCCCCCCCCCAAAAAAAAAAAAACAAAAACCCTGGAGGCATAAAAATGGTCAATTGTATTTTCATACCCTCTTGGAAAATGTGGTGATTAGTGATTTTAAAACAACCCACACAACCCACACTGTTTAATGGTTTGATGTGAGTTTTCTGGGCTATATGGCCATGGTCCAGAAGCATTCTCTCCTGATGTTTCGCCCACATCTGTGGCAGGCATCCTCAGAGGTTATGAGGTCTGTTGGAAACTAGGCAAGTGAGGTTTATATATCTGTGGAATGAATGTTGCAATTGGCCACCTTGATTATATTTAATGGCTTTGTAGCTTCAAAGCCTGGCTTAGTGCTGCCTGAGGTTCCTTTGTTGGGAGGTGTTAGCTGACCCTGATTGATTCTTGTCTGGAATTCTCCCCTTTTTTAGTGTTGCTCTTTATTTACTATCCTGATTTTAGAGGTTTTTTTAAAATACTGGTAGCCAGATTTTCTTCATTTTCATGGTTTCCTCTTCTCTGTTGAAATTGTACACATGGATTTCAATGGCTTCTCTGTGTGCAAGGCCGTTATATGCTAATCAAGGTGTATGTGCGGGGATTAGAAACATTGCACATGAACAATCTGAGATTCCTAGAGGAACTGCTTGGGTTATAATATAAATATTACAGTAAAGTAATATTCTTTCTGGTTTGATGTCATTTGTAAACACATTCCTGCTTTGAGAATATGTATCCTCTCTATAGTGAAGATGACAATGAGATTAGTTGTGTAACAAAGTGTTGCTGCTGGGAAGTGATAACGTAGAACTTGAGTTCCCAATCTCTGTATTTCTTTTTTTCCAGGTCGTTGTCTTATAACAACCTAACGAGACTGGATGAAGGGAGCTTAGCTGACCTGGGAGGACTACAGATACTCCAGCTCAGCCACAACTTCATCAGCCATATTGCAGAGGGAGTTTTCAAGGGACTCAAAAGCTTACGTGTTTTGTACGTGTTTCAGGTTTTCCTTTTTTTTTTTTTTTTGGCCAGGTTGGCCTCTAGAGTATTAGCAATGATTGATTTTGATATTTATTTCTTAATAACACCAAAATTTAAACTTGTGGGTGAAATTTGATAGATGACTTCCGCCCATTGAATGACTCTCCTCCCATCTTAGAAAGAATCCTGTGCCTGGTTTCCCATGCTTGATGTGACAAGGGAAAACCTCCCATTGTTATACTACTACTAAATTATTTGTCTTCAGTTTGGATGTAAAAGACTTCATGATGATGTAGTTTCTTCTTCTTCTTTTTCCCACAATTTATCTTGGCTTTTAATGCCTTCAGATTATGCATGCACAATTACTAATCCCCCAATGCCTTGAAATTCTTAATGCTAGTTTTCCAGTGTGATTTTGCAGCTTAGACGGTGTACATGTGGAATTTTCTTTTTGAAAATAAATAAATTAAGGTAAATGAGCAACACTTAATACTTATATATATATAAATAAATAATTGATACAGCACTTTGTTTGGAGTTTGGGGCTTAATTGAAAGGAAACAAGAGTGTTGCTCCTTAGTTACCACACTGGGCAGTTATTTATTCTTCCCATTGAGCTGAGGGAGGAAGCGCTTTATGTTTCTTTGCCTTTCCCAGAACCACTTTTCAATCCCATGCATGCTTTCAGAAAAGCTCTTCTCCTAGGCAGCTGGCACAGAAAAGAACGAAAGGCTTTTCCAAACCAAAAAACTGTGTTTGTATTGCAGCTAATTCTGGGTCGCCTTTTGTATTTAAGGGCCCAAAGAGCAAAGGGAGGGTGGAGAGCAAGTTCTAATTGAATCAAGAGGAAGGCCCATCGGGTCCTGCACCTGGTGAAAAAGAGCTGGGCATGCTTTAATTATGCCCTATTGTTGAGGAGCCTTTGGTGGGTGTGAAACTGCTGAAATGTGAAGCTATTCAAATAGAGGTCAGGCCCAGGGACCTCGCAGCAGAATGATTAACAAGGCAGTATGCTTTCAGGGCCAGCCATCCAGAAAGAATAGGAAATTGGCAACAGGGGCTGGGAGAAAAGCAAAGAGAATACAAAGAAAACTGGACTAGAATACTGAATCCCTATACTTTTTTGTGTGAAATTATGCTTTGCCCCTTTTCCTTGGCATTAAAAGGCATCTCAGGCTCCTTTAGAAAGATTATCGTAGCAACCAACTATCCTTTCTCTTTTTCTCTTCCCCCCACTCATAGGAGATGTAGTACACAGCTCAGTTGACAAAAATAGATACATAAATAGTATAATGCACTAATGTCACTCGCACATTATATTCCCATTTCCGGAAGCATATCATATCTTGGTCCTTCAAAGATTGATGTACAGGAGCAGAACTGGGCGGGAAACTGGTGAAAATTGCTGATTTAACACCAAAATACAAAATTATCAAAAGAGCGCATTAGCCAACCAAAATTCACAATTATATCATGCAAGCTTTTAAAGCTTCCCTGGCTTATTTCATCAGGCAAAAGATATTAAAAATTAAAAAGAAACGTGACAATAGTAGAGTTACAAGCCTACATTTTGCATTGGGTGATGTTTGTATTGTAGTTCAGTTGTTTTGGAGGGATCTCAGTGCAGGCAAACACCACATCCCTTCTTGACTGCGTTGGGTTTAGGGACAAAGGGCAATAAAAGGCAGGTAATAATATTTCAACTCCATTAGCAACAGAAAAGTAACTTTCCTTGAGATCCAGGTTGTCCCTGTCCAGTACAAAGTTAATTACTCATTTCTTAAGAAGAGAACTGTGCTGAGCAACAGCCTGTTGACTAGGTTGGCAGCTCCCAAGGTCCTTTCCAGTTATAGTTACAATGGCATAAATTGCTCTTTCTCTGATTTCCAAGTAATTGGAATAAAGCCCCCTTTCTTCTTTTGCTGTAACACCGGAAGGAGAAATTTTTTTTTGGATCTAGCCAACAGAAGTGTCACTTTAGAAGTTTTCTTTGAAAGGAAACAAAACTGAGGAGTACAGGTCTAGTCAGCCAGAGTTAATTACCTTTGTTTTTCCTACAAGGACTGGGTAGTTCTGACAAACGCTTTATGTTGTAGAGACAAAAGAAGAAGGCCTTTGGTAAACTCTCCTTAAAGGTTACCCTTCCACTCTTTTGGCTCACAAACTGGGAAACTGATTGGAAGCTTTCTTTTGTCTTCTTCTCTCCAGGGATCTGGATCATAACGAGATTTCAGGCACAATAGAAGACATCAGTGGAGCCTTTAAAGGCCTGGAAAACTTAAGCATGCTGTGAGTATCTCAAATGTTTTGTGTATTTGAAAGGGTTGTTAGTTTTTGTTAAAAAAAAAACCTTTCCTCTTTTTTTTCTTTATGTACTTCATTCAACATGTCTTCTAGTTGTCGGATCATCAAGTTGAGAAATCTGTTGAAGCCATTCGTGTAGGTTTTTTCAATAAATGGAGTGTGTAACTACTTTTTATTAGCAGGGCATGTCTCTGTATCAAACACAGCATTATTTCAGAGACCATCATATAACTGCTGCCTCAGTCTTTTGAACTAAGTTTTTGATGTTAGAGCATAAAGTGAGATGAGTTTTGGGAGTCATCCTGGATTCCTTGGTGATTGTTTATTAGGGCTTTTGAGGAGGTATTTGTTTTGGGCCATGTGCTCGCTCAGATCACATGGTCTTTGGGGGCAGAGCTTCTGCTGAGTCACCAACTTGCTTGAGGATGGAGCCAACAGCTACTAACTCTGTAGCTGAATCTTTGATACTTTGGCTTTTCAGTTCAGTCTCTGATAGCCAGTGGTACACATCTTGCAGTTCTATCGGTTCATTGAACCAAGGCTGTCTTAACGGACAAGACCAGTACACATTTTGCATGAGTGTTTAGCGGGGGAGTTTTGAGTATTAAGTCTGGAGTTTTGCTCTGGTGCTTACTTAAGACTACTGAATATGTAAGGCAAGGGAACTGCTGTAATCACCTACATCAGCTGATGCATGTGTATCTTACTCTAGTGTATCAGGGAGCATAAGGTTTTCTTAGACAGATTGGAGCAAGTTGCCCTAGATGAGGAACATGTGAGATACTCCTGAGGAGGAGTTCGCTGCCAAACACAGGAGATTGGAGGAATGTTATACACGGAAATAGAAGGACTAGGGATCATTCTCTACGTTTGGAGTTACAGAATTGTTTTGAAGCTCTCTCTCTCACCTAATAACAATGAAGAATGGCAACTAGAACAATAGTGTCCATCCTCAGAGAATGTGCAGGTGACCTTAGAAGATTCAGCACATGAAGTGACCCTTGCTAATCCTCAGAGAAGATGTGTGGTTGTGGTAGGGGCTCCCTGTTTAGGGGAACAGAAGCCGTGGTTTATGGGCCTGGCAGGATGGCCTGAAAAGCGTGCTGTCCCCTGGAGTAAAACATCTGTGATGTAACAGAGAGGCTGACAAGATTCATCAAGTCCACTGACAGTTATCCCTTCTTTTTATAAGTAACTATCATGAGTTGGATTAGAGAGAAAGAAGGGGCCAAGCCAGCCTGGTGATGCTATAGAGAGGGAAGCTCATATTATGGGAATTTGCAGATTGATATTGAAAAAACAAAAGAGAAAGCTCCCATTACTATCGTTTGGAATGTATTTTTTTTTCTCATTAGGTCTTTGTATCCTTTTGCTGGCCTTTTGGGAAACAATACATCTTATTTTGCTCCAAATTGAAAGGATGGAGCCAACAGCTATGATATTCTAAAGCAGTGGTTCTTAACCTGTGGGCCATGGACCACCAATGGGCTGCAAGGACAAAAATCTGGTCCCTGAGCCTCCTTCCTCTTTATTTTATTTTATTTCTTCTCCTTTCACCCCATCTGCCACTCCTTCCCTGTTACTGACCATGGCATATGTTCTGTATCAGAAACTAGAGCTGATGTGGTCTATCCAATGCAATTTTCTGAATCAGCATCCCAAACCGAATCTAAAGTTGACTAAAAACTGATTTGTAACCTTTTTGGGACTAATGTTGGAGACTGGTCACTGGTCAAAGTGGTCCCTGGTCAAAAAAAGGTTGAGAACCACTGTTCTAAAACAATGACAAAAGGCTTTGACTTTTCTAACTACAGAGGTAATTTCACTTTCCCGGAATAGACTGATACTTAGCAATGCTAGAAAATTTGTAATGATCTTTCCTCACCCCCTGCTTTTGGTGTAGAAATCAGGAGCTGGGGAGGAGTTTAATATTTCACTTAAGTCACCAAAAGGTAAGTTGCTGTTGGTAGCAGCTCGCACTTTGGTGAAAGCTCTTTCTATTTAATTTTTAAATGCATCTGATGTAATTAGACACACCACACACACACACTTTTTCACTACTTACTTTAGACCATAATTGTATGATTATTGGTGTTTTATTGCTCAGTGCATACCACCTTTCATTAAAAAGTCATCAAAACCCAACTTCCACACTTTTTGTCAGGCAGGATTCTGTGTTTAAACTGTCAGCCCAGCAGGCATTTAACTGTATTAGCATAAGGAGGGAGGAGGGGTGTATGTGTGTGTGTGGGATAGACACTTAGGTGGAAACCTTCAAATGAATTAATAATTACCTCAGTGCTTTAGAGATTGCTTTAAAAGCTGTTCCCCTTTTGATCTGTTGTGGATAAGCTGCTGAAAGGGTTTCGCAAAGAGTACTGCAGTTCCTTGTTCAGCATATTGAAGGTGTTAAACTGGGAGAAAGGGGCAGGCCAAGTCACTAGCCTTCTTTGAATTATAGATGAGGTTCTCCACAATAGAGAAAGCCGGCCTAAATTAAAACATTGCTTCTGAAGTGATAGGCGAACTACACTGGCACAAAACTGTATGAGTGGAATCACTGGGGAACCACAAGCCTCCCTCTCATCCCACCTCCATATTAGACATTTTGTTTATATATATAAAATATTAATATCTCTCTTGTTAGAGAATAAATTGACTACTACAAAGAGATTAAATACAATTCTATTTTTTACATAAAATGAAGCGTGGACTAAAAACCACATTGAAATTACAGCTGAAAGCTGCCCTATGATTTAAATGTGTTTCAAATCAGAAAGTGAAATTACAGCCAGATTGAACAAAGTGGATTTCTCCCCCCCCCCTCAATTTTTAAATTAGGTTTTTAAAAAATACAACTTAAACCCCACTCCACAGAACCTCCCCCTCCCTTATAACCAACCTTTTAAAAATACAAATAAAATACAAATAAAAATACATTAAAATACATTAATAGCACACTTGACCTTTCCCTGCATCAAGCAAAAGCATCTATCAAAATTGTATAATGTCCTTCTATTCTAATCACTTTAGCTTACTAAATATAAAGAAATATAATTAAGATTAATACTTATCACAAAGCGGATTTCAAGTGAATGCCCTCCTTTCCTCCTCCCTCGCCTTCTTTTTTGTCCTGAGCGACATTTATCAGTAAGATGGGAAGACCTGAAATGCATGGCGCACCAACCATTTAATTGCTTGAGGTAGAGTAGAGTGGTGACAGCCATTTTAAATTAGTGCTTCCTGCAAATGCTTATTTGCAGAGAGTTCTGTGGCCATTTTTATTGGACCTTACTGGAGAAGCTGTCTGCCCCCATTAAAAACAGCCACTGTTAACGCATGAGGGTCAAATTATACACATGTATATAGTAACTGTTTCTTTTTCATTTTACTTTTATCAGCATTATCTAACTTGCCTTTTCCCATTCAGTTGTGTAAGGGGTGCTACTCCTTTCCCCACTTTCTGGAAGTCCTCTTCTTTTAGGGAATCCTGAAAATAATCGACACAAATGCTGAGAATTCTCTTGTCAGAAATTCCTCTCTCCCACAGATTTGCAGTTCTCAATATTCCTGTGAGGAAAACTGTGATAATTAAATAGTTTTTAAAAGGACATACAGTATGTACAATGATGTCACTGAAGTTCAGCTTAGCTCTGGAGCAAATACAATCACCTCTTCTTCAGACATTATCTTTCTCAGAAATTGGGAATGGGACTGTAGCTCCCAGGAACTACCAAGTGCCCACCAGAAGTAACTTTTCTGTGTTCTGATCTCTCTTAACAACAACAACAACAAAATTGTTAAAAGAATATAACACTGGACTGTACAGTTGATTTTGAAGGACAGAAAATTAATTTATTAAGCTTTTTCAAGTTGCTCCTTTTGGGATTAACCTGAGGAGCAGTTTGAAGCTCAAGCATAGCAAAAGTTTGGTTGGTTTGCCCAAAAGAGCTGATTAATTTAGCCAAGATACAGTTTTTTTAAAGTATTGTTTGACAGCTCCTTCATCTGTTCCACTAGCTTTGCCTGGGTGTGACTGGCAACCAGTATGCGGTGAAAGACATTATCTCAAGGATAAAGGGTGTGATCTTATTGAAATTGGATAGATATGCAGAATACTTAATATAAACTGCTGAAACTATTTTTCAGCTTTCCTTACAAGCTGTTTCAACCGTTATTCACAGCTCTCTAAACTGTGTGGATCTCCAACAGCGCTGATATTATCAAGGCCACTGACAACCAGCGAGACATTTTTGGTTGTTGTTTGCCTTGGTAAGGGAGATTTCTATTACATTACTGGTATTTGTGCACCTTAAGATGACACAGAATCAAGAATGATTTGTCAGACAAATGTTGGAGAGACTATAATAATTTTGGCACATTGGAACATATGTATTTGTTGTGCTGGAATAATTCCATTTTGGCTCAAGTGTTCTGAATGGATTAACAGTATAACTAATTCCCCCCTTCTCTCTCAAAGTACTTTATGGATTTTATCTATTTATGAAAAATATAATGAAAATTTCCTTTATAATTGTCTTGTATTTAGAAATAGCAAGAATATGCAAGAATAGATGAAGTTTTTATATATTCATTGCTGCTTAGCTAGAATTTGGTCTCTTGCATTGTTAGGGAAACTGACACTTAAATTTCACCTTGCCAGAAGCATAATAATTGGAGGCACTTTCAAAACTACTTGGCATCCATTTACTATCCGTCTTATTCAACAAATATGGCCTGTTTGACTATACAGTATATTTTGAAACTGTTATGATCAATACTCCTTTGATTTTGATTATTGTCTGTCGCTATCATTTTTGTATATAGGCCCCCTGGTGGTGCAGCAGGCTAAACCACTGAGCTATTGAACTTGCTGACTGAAAGGTTGGCAGTTCGAATCAGGGGAGCGTGGTGAGCTTCTACTGTTAGGCTCAGCTTCTGCCAACCTAGCAGTTTGAAAACATGCATATTTGAGTAGATCAGTAGGTACCGTTTCTGCGGGAAGGTTGTGGCACTCCATACAGTCATGCCAGCCACATGACCTTGGAGGTGTCTACAGACAACGCCGGCTCTTTGGCTTAGAAATGGAAATGAGCCCTACCCACCAGAGTTGGACACAACTGGACTTAATGTCAGGCGAGACCTTGACTTTTTATATCATTTTCCTAGAAATTGTATAATTATACAGTATTTTGAATCAGGAAATGTCTGTGTTGGGAAGAGTGGGAAAGGGATTATTATTCTTGTTATTGTTTTATGCATTTATACCTTACGTTTCATCCACAAAGGTGGCTAACATATTTTAAAGCAATACAATTTCACTCCTTTTTTAAAAAGCACCACACATTGTTCACATTGTGTTATGATCCGGATGAAGCTGGTTTGACTTCTTTCTTTGAGTGGCTTGTTTATGGAGGTTGCACTGGGTTGAGCAGCAATACTCCATGGTGTATTATTTTCCATAAGAACAGATCTGATTGGTGGAGGCTAAATATTACCAATTTGAAAGATCTTGTGTAATGTGAATTTTCAACGCTTCACAGGCTTCTTCATTAGGCAGACATGGCACAATAGCATGTGGTGAAAAGAAAGGTCCCCGTATCTACATTTACCTTGATATTATTGGAAGTATTTGTACACTCAAGGTCAGGTCACTCCATGGCAACAAATAAAGAAGGAGCAAAGGCAATGTAATAGAGGCAATATAATTTGGCATTTCAACTTTGAAATATCCCCCCAAATGTTTTTGCATCTATCCTCAGGCCACTATGATAGAAGAGTATACAGCTAGTTTCTTGAGAAAATATCTGTATTGCCAGATATGAAAACAAACCAACTGAGTACATCAGTTGAAGCTGTATCAAGTTGCTTTCCGTGGTACTGGAGTGATTAAACCCTCAGAAGAAGAAAAAAACAGCTCCCTATATATGAAGAAACATACTCCACTTCTTTATGTGTAGGATCCCACTGTTTGCTGCTAAATTAGGTATCTTCATACAAAAAAAAAATCATCATAAATGTATTTGCTTTTAAACCAAGAAAAAAACAAATCCAATATCCATGCACCATGCTACCTATTGAAGCCTCACAGATTTCTTCATGAGTCAAAAATTGTAATAAATAGTGTAGTGGAAAGAAAGGTATACTATAGTCTTGGCATCTAATGTGATTCATTCTATGGTTCTGTGAATCTCTGTGTTGTATGCTGTTTTCAGTACATTGCCTACTGTGCAGTTTTGTTTTGAAATAGTTACATTTGTAAGGTTTCCAGTCCATTGAGGCAACACTTTGAGATACTGCTGACCTTCCTAAAGCGCTGCCAAATACAAATGATTTCACAGATGAGTATCTTCGAATACTTGATGAGATCTATAGCAAAATAGAGCACTATACCAATAAAAGGCAGCTTTGCATTTTGTGAGAGGCAATAATTCACAAATATATTTCTGCACTGCTTACCTGTAGTCCCAGTCCTCCATTGTAGGTAGTCGTTCTTAAATCGGGGGGTTTTACTGACCCCAGGATATCCCACATTCTCAACACATAATTGTGATTTTTATACACTGAAAAGAACTCTTGAGATACTCCTCGTAATGAAAATTGAAATGCAAGAAGGTTTTGAGAACTCAGACATACCTTTCTAAATTAATTTATTTTGGAATTGGAATCTCCTCTGTCATCAGTACTCAGGAGGGACAACAGCACATTTAAAAACAAAATACAACACCAAGGTAAGGACCAGAAATTAGAGATAAATAATACGATAAAGTCTTACAGGGCACCTTGAACAAAGAGTCTTCTGTCCAGTTTAGCCAACATAGCAGGGAAAGCTTAGCACATTTTCAAATTGGCGAAAATCCTTGATTTGATTAGTCTAGATAAGTTTACATGACTAGGACAGCCATACTGCATTTTTTTATGTGCGGAGGGCAGAAAGAGGAACAAATACCGCAGGATAAAATTTCCCGTTCCTTAAGTACTAATTGGTTGACTTAAAAAAGAAAAGTTGACCTCTTGCTGCAAAGAATATTGAGGACATCGCAACAGTATATTTGAGAGGTGAGAAAGCAAAAATAGAGGAGGAGGACCCACACATAACCATTTTCCAAATCATGTGACTTTTGAGGACCTGTGATTCATGATGTTGAACTAGAGAAGCCAACAATACCTAGACTTGGTCATCGTGTCTCTCCAGTCTCTGATATAATAGGGCCAGAATTGTCATGCTTTCTGGTAATCCCAAAATGGCTTTCTAAACAAGGCACAGATTCTCATTTTGGCTCTGTTCTGGGTTCTATTGGGAAGTAATGTGTCATCTTCTAGTTGTAAATGTGTTCATGGGCATATTGTGGAAAAATTCTCTTTCTAAAACCACTTCCCCATTATGTGCAGTGTGGCTACAGAAATATGCATTCAGCTGCCAAAACTGACTCATAATTAAGAATAGAGTAGGGTACCTACAAAACGCAGAGTGTTACACTTTATTCAGTACTTTACTAACTTATTGGAGGGACAGGTGGAACATAAACCTATTAAGCAGCATGCATTGCTTTCAAGCACCTTTCATTGCTGTATGTTGGGTAATTATTAAGTGCCTTAAATGACAATAATTTACAGTATAAGTAAAGATGCTTTTGGAAATTTCTTGAAGGAGTTCTCCTCTCTATCTCACCCTCTTGCTTCCATGGTTTGGAAACCTTATAGGGTTCCCTAGGTACTATTGGCCTGTGTTGTAAAACATTTATTACTAACTGTGAAAAGATTAGGAGTGAAATGTGTTGAGGCGAGTCCAGCGTCTCCTTTAAACTGCTTTCTGTCTGATAAGGGAAGGTCAACCCATATTCTGACTTCCATTTCCCAGCAACCAAAGCAAACCTGCCTTTTTTTAATGCAGTACAGAGTGTCCTGTGTGAAGCTATCATCGCTATTAAATTCTAATAAAGATAAACGTATTTAATTTCAGTGGAGGGGAGAGGGTATGCATACTTTGGCTTCCTTAATCTCCACAGATCGTATTCCTAGTGCCTTATTTGGGGATGTTTCATCAGATAGAGCCATGCTAATTGGGGTCTTTTCATTTTCTTTTCTTTTCCTTCCCCACCCTCCCTCCATTGCTTATCTGACGCTGGGTGTTTGGAAACTGCAGAACTCTGTTTGGAAACAAGATCAAGTCTGTGGCCAAGGAGGCATTCTCAGGCTTGGAGGCCCTGGAACACCTGTGAGTAACCCACAATGCTTTGCAATTCTGAAGAAAAGTGGCTGGGTGGGGGGTGGGGGGGGGGTGAAGCTTGCCAGAAGTGGCTGCTGGAAAGGCCTGCAAGCAATTTAATAGCATATTTGTAAGCTGAGAAGCCAGTCCATTTGTGAGAGCCAGCTGCTTCCTTCTCATTATAAGTCAGCTCCAACTTTGCCTTTTCCCCTCCTGCCTGGAAGAGAGTTATAAGACACATGGCCAATTTGCATGCTCTTAATTTTTTTAAAGAAATGTGTACAGTGCAGTGCATCTTATTTATTCAGATATTCTATCTTAGTGGGAAGTATATCCTATTTCCTTGCCCATGCATTCCATCCCTCCTCTTTCAGTGTCCATTTTCCCTCCCAAACTAAACTTAAGTTGTATATTCAGCAAAGGGTGAGAAAGCAGCGAGCACATTACTACTACAAAAGTGGGTCACTGATGTTCCTTCCCTGCCCCCCAACCCAAGTGGACTGCCTAAGTTGCTGTTTTTAGCAGTCCTCTTCTTCGACTGCTTGAAATGAACTCGCAGAAAGGCAAGCCAAATTAGGAGAACACGGGTGGCATATTTGGCCTGAATCCATTTGCCAGTCCCAATTGTAGACTCATTCAGTTATTTGAATTTGCCTCAGTGTTGATTTATCATTCCGGCAATTATTTCAATGGCTCTGTTCCAACTGGGCATAAAAATGGGGTTTAGGCCTTTGTCTTCATTCCCAGCAGATCACAGAGTGAATTGTTACACTGCCATTTTCAGGCTAAAACTTTGACAAAGATGTTCCACTATGTAGCTTGCCCTTTGTTTGCCATCTTTAGCTGTGAAAGCCACATAGTTGAAAGCAAATTGATATAAAGCACCCCAAAATAAAGTACTGGGATTATGGGGAAAACCCACAAGAAAGTTCTGGATGCCTAAAGTAGTTAATAAAGTAGGAGTTTTTTTTATTGCAAATACATTCAAAATCTTCAGGTTATAATTGCAGCATCAGAAGGGCTTCCCATCCGTTCTGGAACACTGCTTGCATGAAACATGGAAATACCACCTAAAATGGCATCATGACTTCTGTAGTGTATATATTGCTTGCACAGCATTCCCATAAGCTGTTTTCTCCTTCCACTTGAGCTGTGCACATACAGCCAGTATAAAATACATTTGGAATTAAGGTCTGTAAGGGTCTCCTATCATATGCAAATGCTCCAGGGCATGTATAATGCATGTATCATGTTCCTGAGCCTATATAATATGCTTTGAAAAGACTGGGGGAATTGGATGGAGGCATAGATTGTATGCATAGCATCCCAGTTCATCCTAATAACCTGTTACATTGCTGTGAATGGGCAAGTGGTTTGAACAGGACTCTATAAAGAACACCCCAGGATATTTTGAGAAAAAGGACTAGGTGACGTCCTCTTTCCAGTCCACACATGAGCTTATTGGACTGGCAGTTTAATCTTATTTCAATACTCTACCACATTTGAGTCTGCATGCTAGTTTATGGGGCCTAGCACAGGTTTTTTGACACATATATCACTACTTTCTTCAGTAGAAAAGGAGCTACTAGAGTATTTATAAGTTTAGTGGTGAAACATTACCTTGGTTGCCTTAAGTTGTTTTTCCAAATGGTGGGGCCAGCACTGGCTCTGTAAATGTCCCTGAAGCAAACTGGTAGTGTTCAAAGCAAAAATGTGCCTTTTCTAGAAGAATTATTAAATGGCTGCAGAATTTTGTGTTGTGACATTGTCCATCAACATGTGTGTGTTAAAAAAAGAAAATGCTTCTTCTTTATAGGAACCTTGGAGCTAATGCCATACGGTCTGTTCATGAGGATGCATTTGCCAAGCTGAAGAACCTGAAGGAACTGTAAGTAAGAGTGCTATTAGTCTATCTTGTATCTTTAAGCTATTGTTATGACACTTGCCCCTCCAGCAGCAGCCAATTCCCCCAAGCACACTCCTACCATTTCTGCTCCCCACTCACCACCCTTACAAGCTATTTTTACAGTAGAGCAGATGTCAGGGAATCATCTCGCAGTCCGTAATGAGTGAAATTGGATCTTCTCAGCATCTTCTTTCATTGGGCTGCATCTGTGCCCTTATTCATCTCTGTTGAGGAAATCTAGCCTCCTGCTCTCTAGTCTTACAGCGCATTCAATGACAGACTCAATTTCTGATGGTAAATTTGCTTTTCGTTTTCATACCTGTGTTTCCAGTGCCCTGACATTTAGAGTGATAAGCATGCTTTGAATTTGATCCTTCCACTGACTAAGTTTCAGGATGGAAAACTATGTGCATGCCAGACGGTTTGATACTTCAGCTATGTGAGTGGGCACACTAAATAATAGGCATCTGATCTTTAGATGCTTCCCACATCGCAAATGCTCCTTATGTTGTACTATAAAAATAAAATTGCTCATTCTAATTTTCTATTATAAAGAAATATATCCATAATTCTGCACCCACCAGAAATCAGTTGTTTCCATTATGTCATATCATTTAAACATTAGAATTGGGCCCGAATCACTCTTAATGAAAATATTTGTAGTTTCTGGAGGGTCATTGCTGAAAAAGAAAGGTGAAGGGAGAGATAAGAAGACCAATGAAACGAATTCAGAGAGACAATATTTTCAGAAAGAGTTAAGTCCACAAAATACCTGAGGCAGGGGGATCAGTGGTGTCTTTTTTTCTCCCCGGCAGAAGAAGTGTCTTCTGTTTTTTCTTGGAAAGTCACCTCCTCCTCTAGAGAGGGCCTTTAGAAATTTTAGAAATTGCTTTCCCAGTGGCACTAGCATAGAGTGACCATTGAAAGTTCCTCTTGGAGCATGATGGGAGTTGAAGTTTTGTTCTGTGTGTGTCTCTCAGCCAGTAAAAAGCCTAGTGGTGTCTATGCTCTGACTGGCTGAGAATGGACACAACTGGTGACTACAATTCTCAGAACCCTCTCTTGCAGTTTGTCTTACTTTTTAAAAAATGTTATGCTTAAAACTTAAAATAATTCTTAAAAATCTGTAGATTTGTGAATTGTTTTGAAACTTGGCAGGCCTGCAGTTGTAAATGAGGTCTAAAGCTGAGGCAGGTTTCATGCAGATAGGCCTTAAAATGGCTGAGGATTTAACCTTTAAAGTTTCCCATTGTAGCCAATGGGCTGCATCTCTGCTGAATGAAACGGAAAACACTCATCCTCTTTGGATAACTTTCTGGTAAATAAAATGAGAGGTCAGACAAAAACAAACCCAAAAACGGTATGCCTTTTGGCCTGAAGGCACATGACTATTAAATATAGCTTAAGATAATACCCATCATTCATGTGAACTGCATTTGGCCAGTACATGTGTAATCTTTATCAGAGATTATAGAAAGCATGTTCATTCTGTTCAATATACTGCAGAGACTACGTTCCTGCATGTGATGGGCATGAACTTTGAATGATTTGGTGGGGTGTTACATAAATTGAAATAAGATTTATGAACATCTGTTAGCTGTGAAGGTTGTATGATACCTCAAAGTTCAATTTTTTTTTAGAAAAGTTACTTTTAACAACAGCTCCCCAAATCTCCCAGCCTGTATGCCCTTTTGGAATTCTGTGAGTGACAGACCTGAATCCTATTAGTTCGCCCCACCTAGAATCAACTCATTGAATCAGTTGTTGAATGGTGAGTCAACACGTAGGTAAATCCCATGGATTTAGTGGATTTATTCTAGTTGGGTCTTACTGTAGTATTCAGGCCAGAGTCTCAGAAGGTAACTATTCCAAGCATTGTACTGAATAGCAATGGCTAGGGATCAATTGTGAGAAAGAGGTGTTGGCTGTCTGCCCTGCTTGGGAGGCGTCTTGTTGGCTCCTGTTAGAAAGAGGGTGCTGGACCTGATGAATTCTTGGCTGTACTTAGATTCTGATCGGTATGGTATTTGTGTAATCTCTACATCGTTTGAATAACTATCTGGTATTTCTGATCCACATAATATTTAGCGAAAGATACACAATAGAGTTATGTTCTTCATCCTGCTTTGTTCAAAGCAAATCAAATTATTGCTTGAGAAATAATGTCTGTCTTAACTTTGCCATATTGGATTGGGGCTCTCCATCTTTGAGTTGTTGCATAAATATGTATTTACACATTTAAAGGAAGACATGAACACCTGGTAGTATCACCTTGACCCATTTGAAGATGGATGTTAGACTCAACCTCCTCCCCACCCCAATAGTCTTTATACAAAATGTCCATGCAAGAAAGTTATGAATGATTAGGAAACAAATCTTTTTTTTTAGGTCCACTTATACTAATGTTTATCTTTTATGATAAACAATAGACCTTAAAAAAAAGAAAAAATAGCTATGTTTTAGGTTAGAAAAGATTTTCTAATTTTTCATCTGGAGATCATTCTTACTCACCCTTGGTGACTAGCCAAGTGCCTCTTTACAAACTTGCTATGTAAATCACTTCATAATATTACATAGCCACCTATTTTTTAAATTAACTGAAGCAATATCAATTTTGAAATTCATTGTCGAGTAGACCCGTTGAATGAACTGTTGTACAGTGAGTCAACACATAGGTACATGTTGATTCAGTAGGTCTACTGTAACCAGAATTAACAGCTGGATTAACCCTCTGCCTACAGTAGTGAACACAGAAACCTGGTTTGTTTTCCACTGTTCCCTTGTTTGCTGAGAGCTATGAAGTCTGCATTTTACTGAATCTTTACTGATACTGCTGCATTTTATTGAATCATTGTAAGCCGCCTTGAGTCCCCGTGCTGGGGTAGAGAAAGGCAGGTATAACTATGGCAAATAATAAATGAATGAATAAATAAATCTTTTAAGTTGGCAAGGGGTTGTTTATGATGTTGTATGTAATTTGTTTATTGGATTGTATTGTTTTTGTGTGAATTTGTTTATGTACTCAAACAAATTCACACAAAAACAATACAATCCAATATAAAATACTTGTTGTATTTTATATGTTTGCACTATTGAGTGCTTTTGTGAGCTGCCCCGAGTCCCTTTTGGAATGGTGGCGTGGTATAAATAAAGGATGTTGTTGTTGTTGTTGTTGTTGTTGTTGTTGTTGTTGTTGTTGTTATTATTAAATATTACTTTGCATCACTGTATGTATGAAGATTCCCATTAAGGACTCCTTAATTTCTTTTCCCAGTATTTGGATTTCTCATTATCTTGGTGAAAAGCCAGTACGTAAATGTTTGTCAGATTCTTGTGCTTGGGTTTTATAGATGACTTTTTTTTCATTTTGTTTGCTCCCCTCTAGCCACATAAATAGTGAGAGTTTCCTGTGTGATTGTCAGCTCAAATGGTTGCCGTCGTGGTTAACCAAGAAGGAGCTGCGACCATTTGTGGAAGCTACCTGTGCCCACCCAGAGTCATTAAAGGGCAAAAGCATTTTCGATGTGGTGCCAGAAAGCTTTGTGTGCGGTAAGTCTGGGCTGCAGCATGGTAATTTTGAGGTTGCTTTGGAGGGCAGCCCTCACTCAGGAATGTGTATGCGCCTTGTGGCCAACTTATTTCTGTGTATGCAGTGGAGTGAAGTAGTTCCATTTGTATGCTCACATGCATTCATCCATTCCTTTATCTGTTTGTTTGACTAGGATGTAACAATGGCTTATGCTCTGACTCTTCCTTGCTTAAGAAAAGCCTATGAAAAATTCATGGGGGTCTCCATTAGTCCATAGGCGACTTGAAAGTGTGCATGCATTTACATGTTCTCACACATCCATATACTAAGATTTAAAAAAAGATGCAGAAATAAATACGATAAGTTATAGTTTTTTAAAAAGCATGTTCTTTCTTTAATGGTTATGCGTTCACTCCTGAACAGCTAGCTAGTCATTGGACAGAGTTGATCAGGGCCTGAGTAACCATCAGAAATCACTGAAAATTATGGTTGTGCTAGAATGGCAATTCCAGATGTTGCTGAATGGTATCCCTTACTTCAATATACCGTAACCTGTTTTTTTCAACTTGAATGAGTTTGCCTGGCAGATTATTTTCAACTTGTCTCTTTAGCTTGTGTTTAGCTCATTAATTTTGTGTGTTCTCATTGCTGCTATTCTTCCCTGTTTTTGTTGCCAGCTGAGCAGCTTTATTTATTTTAAGACTGAAAGGTAGCTAAAATTATTTCAACCCATCATTCAGGCGTGGGCAGATGCATGTCACAATTTTATTTTAGAAATTGTAGTGGCCATCTGTTGAAAGGCCAAACCCTTTTGAGATAGGCCAGTGGTTCCCAATCTGTGGTCCATAGACGACCAGTGGTCCACAAAAACTAAAATATGGTTTGCGACCTCACCATTACTATACTGTTGCAACGGGAGCGACTGGTCTTGCGAAACCCTCTTATAGTGCTGAGGCTTTTTAAATATGGTTTTCTGTGGGTGAGCAGATGGCTACTACTGGATGGCATATATCAGAAACTAGAGCTGATATGGTCCACCCAATGTAATTTTCTGAATCAGCACCCCAAATAACCAAACCAAATCTAAATCGACGTGTAATCCTTTTGGTACTAATGTTGGAGAGTGGTCCCTGGTCAAAAAAGGTTGGGAATGACTGAGACAGTCAAAGGGCTTGTGTCCTGTGTTGCCGGCCTTTTTTTGCATGAGAACCATTTGCCATCTTTAGTTAACTGTAACATGATGGCAGTAGTTTAGTTAACTACTGCCATTTCTATGGCTGCTGTAATGCATAGGTGGCGATCGTTGACCCTCCAGAGGTTGGACAACAATTCCCACACACTATACTGACTGGACTGATGGATGAAGGACTCCAATAACATCTGGAGGCCTTCCTTCTTCTACTATAGCCCACACAGGACTCGCTGTGAGATTTTTAAAAATGTGAAAGGATTGTTTTAATGTGAGGATTAGCATTTTTCTTTTGGACAATCTATTCTTGGTCTTTTTTAATACTACCTATTCAGGGAGCCATTCTGAACCAACATAGTTAAGAGATGAACCAACACAGAACAGCTGCATAATGTTTTTTGTTGTTCTTTTAAAAAGGGATAGTTCAAAAGTTTAAAGCTACAGCCAAAGTTGCTCTTGTTCATACTCTCTTCCCCTTAAATGAAATGGGGACTGATTTCCAGGAACTTGCTTCCCCCTTTGTTCAGCTTGCTTGTTGATGTAGAATGGAAGCTGTCATAATTAATTAGGTGCTGCTAGTTTTGGGCAGAGAATGACAGGACTGGGAAGATCCCTCGACTGTGTTGAAGCATAATCTATCACTCTTAGTTGGAGTATGTCCACAGAACACACTGCAATCAGATAGGCACAGAAATCCAGATACTTGTTCAGAATACAGGAACACCTCCGTTGCATTGATGATCTCATTATCCAGCTGTGTGTGTGCCTTTGTCTGTATGTTTAAGCTTGTTAGGAAATCCATAGGCAACAACATAGGTAAAGCTATACTTCTGCCCAGCATAGCACAATTAGTGGTGGAAGCCACACCTTATTTATAATATGAAGCTGGTTGCATTATGTTGAGAAAAAGCAGCAGTGCTTGGAAAACCAAGTCATGTGTCACAACAGAAATAGGAGGAGTTGTGCTCCCCAAAAAAGGACTATAATACATTACTCCACTGTTCAGCAATGCAGGCACACCCTTTCGTTCTGAAAGATGAATTGACTCTGGGCAAGCACATTGAAAACTGCCTGTCAGAAGTGGGCACAACTATACTTCAGATTGGGTGAAAATCATATAATGGGGTTTTCCACATTATTATTTTTAATTATGCAATAATACAATTATGAAGAAAGGGAAACAAAACCAGAAAAAATAAAAGGGAAACATTAAAGATAGAAGTACAGTAATTGAATAAAATCCTATATATAACTTTCAATAAGACATATGTCAGGGTCCGAAAAGGCTATATGAAATTATCTATCTGTTGCACATTTAAATGTTGAAAGTGTTGTACAGTTCTCTTAGTCTTACTGAGTAATAGAAAGTAAGTATTTATCATTCTAGTACTGGAGTATAGGTCATAGCCACAAAAAAGACATGAAGAATCCACCTGATATCCTTCCAAGTCTAATGGTGCAATCCTCTCATTGATTCTGTTTCCTCATACTATACATTAATGTGTATTTGAAAGCAGGGAATTAGAATCATAGAATCATAGAACTCAAAGAGACCTTGTGGGTCATCCAATCCAACCCCCTGTCAAGAAGCAGGAAAATTGCATTCAAAGCACCCCCAACAGATGGCCATCCAGCCTCTGTTTTAAAGCCTCCAAATAAGGAGCTTCCACCACACCCTGGGGCAGAGAGTTCCACTGCTGAACAGCTCTCACAGTTAGGAAGTCCTGCTAATGTTCAGATGGAAACTTCTTTCCTGTAGTTTGTTAAGAGTATGGCCAATTTATTCTCCTTCCTAGTCATCTCATTTTTTTGGTGATGAGTATAGACGTAGATTTCTCATGTAGATAGTGCCTTTCTACAGAAAGGTTTTTATTAAATCCCACCATTGAAGTGCTTGGAAAATATCCAGCTCATAGTAACATTTTTCTTTCTAATAATAGATCACCAGTTGCAGTTCCTCCTCTATGCACATACCAACGTTCCTCTCCTATAAAGAATGTTAGATACAAGCTTGTCAATGAAGCCTCGAAATAACTGCATATGTTTACTATCCCTCCTGAGCCAGCTCAATGTCATGGAAACATCAGCTCACTTAAGTCGTCTTTTGACTTTATAGTACCATACATGGGTCAAGGGGTCCTAACATGCACATAGCTGGGAAAAAGCTAAGAAAAAAACATTATACATGCTAGCTTTCCATCTGCCTGCTCCACATAGTAGATTCTGGCCACAAGTTTCCTACTCAGGTGGAAGCAATGCTGTATATTTTATACTTGTGCCTTCTTTATGTCTTGACTTGGTTTTCCATCTGGCATTGAAAATACTTTGGCCAAGATACCATTACAACGATGCTGTCAGTCAGCGTTGTGCCTGGAAGATGTCTAGCAGCCATTATATTATATAGTTGGGAGAAAGGTGTTGAGCAAAGATAAGCCTTGTCCAACACCTCATTCTTGCATTTCACGATTCTTTAATTTCACAGTGCATCTTTTCAAGGGCAGATTTTATCAGATCTAGTGTGTTCTGATTTGGTTAGTAACCAAGAGGTTGGTATAACTGAGAGCTATGCCATATTCATCACCAACAGATTTCTGATCTAAGTCTTGAAACCTACATGAGATTTGGCAGCAGCCTGGCCATTTTGAGTTTCTTCTTTCCATTACTATGGCTGTACTTTAAGGGGTGGGGTTTGGGAGCATGCAGACTGTTTAACATGAAAAGCAGAGATGCTTTTGGTGTGACTAATAAATTAAGCTGCCTGGAACTCGGCTAAACCAAATAGGCTTTGCTGTTGGGGCCCCAAGAGCAGAAGCCTTTGCTTTGGAAGAGTGACAAGCAGGTCCATCTGCCATTTCCTTTAGTGCCCTTGTGCCAGGATACTATCCCGCCTGTCAGCACTTGTCATTCGTGACATTAATTGCAACAGTTGCTATAACTCTTAACAAATTAACAATGTCAGTGTGTGGTAGCAACAGTTGGAGGCATCTCATAGTGACCAGCCAACATAAGGAGGTGGCAATAAGGTATATGTAATTAATTCCGCATACCTTGGAATTCTTTTCCTCCCTAAAATAAACTGGCCAGATGGATCAGCTAATCAAGTCACTCAGAAGAGCTGGCATCCCCCTTTACCAAAGCATGTATATAGCATTCTATTTTGCCACAGGCATCTGTTTTCACATCATATCCAGTTAAACCTGATTATCTAACATGCTACCTGCACCAGGAAATCATGTGTTGAATTCTTCCTCATGTTGTGTGTGTATCCTATTGCAATTCAGATTCATTTATTCAAATAGTTTTGGACAAAAGGGTTTCTGCCAACCCAGTTGTTTTCACAGTTGATAGTTATAGAAAAACACTGAGAATCATCAAGTTCTTTATATGAGAAATTGTATTGCTGCATTGGAAGTTGGGGGTCCAGAATGAGGTGGGGTGCACCACTCATAGCTCTGGCCCCTGAAACTTCCTTAAATGAAAATGTTGGCATTGTGTTTTTTTCCAGAGGATTTCCCAAAGCCCAAGATCATTGTTGAACCAGAAACTACAATGGCTGTCCTCGGCAAGGACATCCGCTTCACCTGCTCCGCTGCCAGTAGCAGCAGTTCCCCCATGACCTTTGCCTGGAAGAAGGACAGTGAAATCCTACACCATGCAGACATGGAGAACTTTGCCCATGTTCGGGCCAGTGATGGGGTGGTGATAGAGTACACCACCATCCTCCACTTGCGCCATGTCACTTTCTCCCATGAGGGCCGCTACCAATGCATCATTACCAATCATTTTGGTTCCACCTATTCTCACAAAGCTCAGCTTACTGTCAATGGTGAGTCTGGACAACTTCATAGTGTCATAAATTGCTGTGACAAAAAATGGAAAGAACCTCAAATAGGCAAGCGACAATATTGCTCTTCCTCAAATGAATGTGCCAAAATACTCTGTTTATATTAACTATAGAAGAAAGGAGCCCCCAGTGGTACAGTGGATTAAACCGATGAACTTGTTGACCAAAAGGTAGGTGGTTCAAATCCAGGGAGCAGGGGTGAATTCCCACCATTAGGCCCAGCTTCCAACCTAGCAGTTCAAAAACTTGCAAATGTGAGTAGAATGATACTGCTCTGGTAGGAAAATATCAGCTCTCCATGCAGCCATGCTGGCCACATGACTTTGGAGGCATCTATGGACAACACTGGTTCTTCGGCTTAGAAACAGAGATGAGTACCATCCCCCAGAGTCGGATACGACTAGACTTAATGTCAGGGTAAAACCTTTATCTTTTACTACAGAAGAAATGTTGAGACCTGAAATTGATAGGTCACCATAAATCAGAGTTAGCTTGAATGTATATAATAAAAACAACAAAAAGCTTATATATTTATCACCCCAAGTATGTACATTATTCATAGAATTTTCTGAAAATTATATATTTTATAAAATATAAAATACTAATTATGTACATAATTATGTGCTTGCATATATAAATATGTCCATAATTGTGCCACTTTCCACTCCCTTGTTAGTGTGTTTCTTTATTGGTGTCACTTTTCTATATTAACACAGTTAATTTAAACATTTCTTTTATGAAGCTTTGCATTTTAGTTATTTAATTTCACAAGGAAGACATTTCTGCAAGGGGAGGTTTTATAAGGCCTGGTGTACCTAACATACAATGCAATATGAAGTAGTAAAGCTCTGGGGAGGTAGATTGCATCAGATTGCAGTTGTTGGGATGCACTCCCACTACTAAGAGTGAAAAGTGTCTGAGGGTCAGGGACCATACCACAACCTTTCGCTCTTTACAGTGTGGGTTGTACCATGCTCGCACAGTCTTGGAGTGGCAGTTCTTACTGAAATTTGACACTAGTTCTTGAAACAAGTGGTATATCCCTTATCCATAATTCCTAAATCCAAAGTCCTCCAGAAATGCCCCCATTGATATTTGAGATAGCAACACCTGTGCTTTCTGATGATGCAATGTATGCCAACTATGTTTCATGCACAACATTATTTAAACATTTCAAAATACCTTGAGTTGTGCTTCCAGTCTTAAAATCACAAGTCTAGTGCTACCATTTGAGAATTTTAATGATTTTTTCTTCACATATGTAGAAGAAGCCTAAGTCAATGTATCTTCATGTCCAGATAAATATGAGAGATACAGACAGATATTGACATGTAAATGTGAATATTGACATAGTCCCATAACTGAAATGCAATTTTCAGACCAAAGGTAGGCCTTTCCACATTTTGCAGGGGTTAGGGGCACAGGATCCCTGCAAAAGTAGAAAAACTATAAATATCCCTCTCACCTACTCTTTTTTCTACCATAGAGAGCACTTCTCAAGGAAAGTGATATGGTAAACTTTCCCTTCCTATTTGTTCAATAGTTCATTGTGTTGTCTCCAATCGGTGACAACAAATAAGCAGTGTCACAATGCAGTCCAAATTTTTGTAGTGGGATGGGAAGATATTGGGGATGCTACCCTTAGCATAGGGTCTTGTGGCAGCAAGGAATAGGGTCAGATGGTCATTTACTTTGAAAGCATGACCAGTGTTCTTGACAAGTCCTCCTTTCAATTCTCCTTTTTGTCTTTCCCAGTGTTGCCCTCCTTCCTGAAAACTCCTTACGACATTGCAGCCCGAACAGGGACAACAGCCAGGCTAGAGTGTGCCGCTGGTGGTCACCCCACTCCCCAAATTGCTTGGCAGAAGGATGGAGGCACTGATTTCCCTGCAGCTCGTGAGCGCCGGATGCACGTCATGCCCGAAGATAATGTTTTCTTTATCACAGATGTGAAGATAGAGGACATGGGCATTTACAGCTGCACGGCTCAGAATTCCGCTGGTTCTGTGTCAGCAAATGCTACTTTGACAGTGCTAGGTAAGGGAGTTTGCTGCCTTTGAGAAGGACCAGAGGCCCTTTCATGCTTTGCAGTTATAGTTCTATTATTCCACTTTAATCTTCCTGGCTGCATCCTATTGAGTCTTGGGATTGCCTTGTTTGGTGAGGCACAAGAAGAATTCTCTGGCTGAAGACTCTTAACTATTCCTACCTAAACTGCAAATCCTGAGATTTCATAGGATGGCCTGTAGGGTGCTTTAGCACACAGAGTGATTGCAATGTGATTCCACTTTAACTGATTCCATGTTAGCTTCATGGGGGTCATAGGATTTTTTAGTTTGTTGAGGTGACACACTACAGCTCTCCAGCTCAAATTTCTAAATATTCTTAAACTCAGAAGTGGTGTATCAAGCTTGTATAGCATAAAGCTGTACATGTGGTTGTAATAACTCTTATGACCAGCCTGAATTTTGTGGCCAGACCTGCATAAAGTAGACCCATTGAATCAATCTATGCGTTGACCAGATTGAACAATTAATTGCTAGTTGGGTCAGCCAAAAAGCTTCCAATCACTATTTATACATAATGAGTTACATGTTGATTGTGCTATATGACCTTGGTGTTGCTTGAATGGATCCACAACTGATATAGTGGCACTGAAATAGGTGATGTTAGCAGAGGCATAAGTGGCCTATAGACTGAATTTCAGAACTTTATGGGCTATAAAATCAAAAAGTTCAGGGTTTTTCCGCTTTATCAGTAAAATTCCTGTAGGCTAACCTACCTTTCTGTGTCCTCGCAGAGACTCCAAGTTTAGTTCATCCCCTGGAAGATCGAGTTGTATCTGTTGGGGAAACAGTGGTTCTGCAGTGTAAAGCAACAGGAAGCCCACCTCCGCGCATCAACTGGCTAAAGGGCGATCAGTCTCTAATGCTCACTGAAAGGCATCACTTTACCCCAGGCAATCAGCTGCTTATTGTCCGGAATGTCATGATGGAAGATGCTGGAAAATACACTTGTGAAATCTCAAATACAGTTGGGACAGAACGGGCACATAGCAAAGTTAGTGTCTTGTCTTCACTGGAATGCCAAAACGATGGAACGACTGTTGGGATCATTACTATTGCTGTAGTATGTAGCATCGTGCTGACCTCTTTGGTTTGGGTGTGCATCATTTATCAAACCAGAAAGAAAAATGAAGAATACAGTGTCACAAATACAGGTAAGCCTAGGGTTGATCTGTCACTCATTCACTAACAATGAGATCCTGATTGATAGTGGGAGTTACTAAAGTTTTACCCTGATATCCTGTTGAAAAGCAAAGCAGCACAATGCTCCGCTACTATGGCTGAAATATTACATAGTGTCACACTATGTAAATATTAGGCCTGGGTAACAACGGAAAAATTTGTTTCTAAAATCGATTCGTTTTTTGGGGGGTTTTGCGTTTCGTTATTTAAAATAATTACAAAATTTTCCTTTTAAAAAGTTCGATATTTACAAAATTTCGTAAATGTGAAAAAATTGCAAAGCATTAATGAATCGATTTCCGAAACAATAACGAATCGATTCGTTAATGGCGGACGCGACCGCGAAATACGCTAAAAAACCTCCAAAAACTTCTGAAGCTTCCCTCTGCCTCTGTTGTTGACTGTTGGTGTGATATTATAATTTTTTTTCACTAATTAAACAAAAACAACCATAAAACTTGCCCCAGACATGCGGAAATAATAACGAAACGACCTCAAAACAATAACGAAACGAATACAATAACGAAATACGAAGCATTTACAAAACGTTTTTGAAAATTCGTTTTTTTTAAAAATTGCTCCAGAATGGTTCGTTATCGTTTTGTAATTGAAAAAAATAACGAATTATTAACGAATTACGAATTAACGAAACGAAACCGCCCAGCCCTAGTAAATATTACATTATATCACACTCTGCACATGCAGCTCCATACCACTCTATCCCTAAAACAGCTGCCTAACCCTTTCCCTGGACTCATTGGCTGTGAGGAGAACTGAGAGATTCAGTTCTCCTCACAAGAAGAAAGACAAGTGTGAACAGACCTGATTTCTCTTGGCTGGAGTTACTGCTGAGACAGGCAGCTTAATGGTTGCTTGACAGCTCCTCGAAGGGATAGGTTTTGGACAATGTGCAAGGTTTTATATAATGCGAGTTACTCCTTCTATACCACATATGTCAAGCGCAAGGTTCACTGGCTGAATCTGTCCCACCACATATTACTGAACTTCAGCTCCCAGAATGTTTGCCATGCTAGCTGGCACTGTTTGCCATTTGTGGCTCCATGTGTTTGGGACCCCAACTCCTAGAAGCCTTTGCCAGCTTGTTCAGTGATCAAGAATTCTGGGAGCTGAAGTCCAATACACTCGTAGCTCCCTGAAATGTCTATCCCACCTGATCCTGTAGCAAAAGCACACTTTGTGCCATGAATTGTGTTCTTTTTTTGGTTTCATCTTTAAGTGTTTTTCACCTTTCCCCTCCTTTCCTGGCTTTCCAGATGAGACCATTGTACCCCCTGATGTGCCAAGCTATCTATCCTCTCAGGGAACATTGTCGGAACGGCAAGAAGCAGTGGTCAGAGTGGAAAGTGGCCAACAGCCCAATGGGCACCTACAGAGCAATGGTATGGCTGAGAGAAAAACAGGCATCATTTTTGCTTCGGTTGAGAGATGTAGAATGCATTTGGCAAAAAATCACATGATATGGTCCTTTTTGAACTATAAAAGATTTTTTAAATAATATTGTTCCATCACATAAACTTCACTGCACATAGAGAACTAGTTGCATGTCAAAGGTAGGCCTAGCCTTTGAATATCTCTTCCTAAATCTCTGGTTTCCTACATGCAGAATCTTTACTGCTTTTAAATGGAGGAACATATTACCAAAAAAAGAGAGTGCATGAGAGGTCTGAAATAGTATAAGTCTTGAGGGACTCTATCATGTACTTTTTCTGAATGTGTAAATCATCTTGAAGATATCAATAACTAAAACATGACTTCCTGAACAGATGTTGGCTCAGTACTCCAAATCTAACCATGTACGCATGGAGTCTTCACAGATATTCTAAGGCTAAAGATGTCATTGTTTCCAAAGCCTGAAATGGCCATTCTGGAACCCATCAGCCTTTGAAAATGCTAGCGGAATGCAGGGAGGAAAAAGATTGAGTTCCACTGAAACATTTGGAGACCAGACCAGACTGGCATGTCATCTCTAAGGGTTGTCTTTTAAAGTTTATTTGAGCTTGGAGCTCTCATAACTATGTACTTGAGGACTTTCTGGCACCTTAAAGACCAATAAATTCTATTTGGGGGTGTGTGTGGGGTGTGTGTGTGTGTGTGTATTTAGGGCAATGACAGCATTAAACAGTAAAAGATAAGTAAAACATAACTAGGTATTTGTGTATAGTCAGTCTCTATCCATTGTTTCTGCAATCATGGATTCAGTCATCTATAGATTTCAAATATATTTTAAAATTTCAAAAAGCAAACCCTGATTTTGCCAGTTTATATAATTTATATAATTTGCAATTGTATATAATAGGACTCAAACATCCATAGATTTTGGTATCAGTGGAAGGTCCTGATATCTCAAATGATATCAAGGGCACACTGTATAAAGCTTGTATGGTCTTCTGCCCACTTCATCTGATTGTAATAAATTAATTGTATTCAGTAGTTGTAATATGTATTCTGGAAAATATCTCAACCTAGGAAGAAATAGAAAGCATATGTTAAAAGCTTTGACATGTGCAGATGTGACTAGAAATAGGTATTGCATCTTCATTGCCCCACAGCAAAGTCACTCCACCAGTCTTCAAAGTTAAATATTTGTGCCTGGTGATGTCTGGCTCTGTTACTTAATGCTGTGGTCTGTCAACAAGTTTATTTGCAATTCTTTCTGTAATAATAATAAATAATAAACTTTATTTATATCCCACCCCCTCTCCACAAGGACTCGAGGTGGCTTTCTGTTATCTCTCCCTTGAATCTTCCAATCACCAGGACCCTTGCATCACAATGTGTCCCTAGCTGTATTGCACATTTGTGCGAATTTTAATTCTTAACCTCCTCAGCAATCAATGTTAATTGAAAAGCATGCTACAAGAGGGTTGTTTTTAAATGTTTCTGGGCTTACAGATCAGATTTGTAGCTTGCTGCAAGAGACTCAAGATAATAGTTTTCTTAAGAAACCAAATTTTCTCCTTGGCCCATGCAAAATAAATGCACAGTTCATACAGGAAAACAAATGATACTCTTACATCTATAGTTTTGTCACATCCATATTCACATTGTTTCCTATGTTCTTTCTGCCCTATAACAAAAGACATTATCCCAGAGCCTTCAAAAAGTTATCTCAGACTTGATGACCCTTGTGGCCTCTTACAACTCTATGATTTCATGGGTTTTTCTTTTACTAAAACTCTCCAAATTCCCCCAACTAGACCATTAATTACGTGGGAGTTGGAGTAAATAAAAAGATAACTTTTCCAAATTCTGGAAGTGTTCTGCTTTTATTCTGAGTCACTCCATGCATGGAAAAAAACAAACAAACTGGGAGATAGATCATGTGGGTAGCAAGGTCAACTATTAAGATGACCCAGTTTTATGCTTCTCTAGTTTACCTTTTCAACTGTAGTGTATCTGCTTATGTGGCATACCTGCTCAGATCAGCATGTTAGTACATGTTGCATGTTTGTGTTTCAGGAGTTTGCCAGACTGATAGAGGGAGGGATCCAGAGGCCGATCCTCACCCTGTTGTTTACCGGCAGCCAAAGTTATGCTTAGGATACAACAAAGAGTCTTGGAAAGGAGAAGATCTAGCTGACAGGATGCTTGTTGCAGACAAGACAGGTACAGAGCTTTTGGGGAGAATATTTTGCATTCGTTCATTCTAATACAAACTATCTGTGAATCAAGATAGCTTTGTAAGGTTTTCAGGGATGTGTATAATTTTCTTGCCACTATTATTCAGATGTAGCATAAAGCAAATGGTTTTGGAAAGCAGCCGTTTTATCAGTGCAGATGAAATGTCTAAAGAACAAATCCTAAGGGGAATTCTGCTGTGGCAAGCCCATGAAAAATAAATGATGCCAGGGTATTCTCCATGCTTTTGTGTGAGTCCCAGTTAGTTTCTTTAGTGCATCTCTGAAATTACGTCCCAGAATAATGCCATGTGTAATTTGTTCTTATCTTTTAATATTCACCGGCATTCACTCATCACTACCCTTCCATTCTCCAGGTGTGTTGAACTATCTCACTCCAGCATAACAATGGGCCATGCAGGCTGGGGATAATTAAATTTGTACTTCAGTACATATGGGCCCCCGGTGGCTCAGTGGGTTAAAGCACCGAGCTGCTGAGCTTGTTGATCGAAAGGTCGCAGGTTCAATTCCAGGGAGCGGCGTGAGCTTCCGCTGTCAGCCCTAGCTTCTGCCAACCTAGCAGTTCGAAAACATGCAAATGTGAGTAGATCAATAGGTACCGCTCCAGCGGGAAGGTAACGGCGCTCCATGCAGTCATGCCGGCCACATGACCTTGGAGGTGTCTACGGACAACGCTGGCTCTTCGGCTTAGAAATGGAGATGAGCAGCACACCCCAGAGTCAGACATGACTGGACTTAATGTCAGGGGACTACCTTACCTTACATATGGAAAGGGCATTGGGTTGGGAAAAATAGTCTTAGTCATAGAAAAATCAGCCCAAGTTTATGGTTATCTGCTCAGCTAATAGCTTCACATTTTATTAATAACAAACTCAAGATGTAAACATTTACAATTTGCATAGTTGAGGTAAAACTAGTGCTGGTGGAAATTTGGGTCTCTGGCTACTTCAACACACTAGAGAATGAATCCACTTTAAATGCAGTTTCTGCATCCTGTAGAATTCTAGGGTTTGCAGTTTAGTGAAGCTGTTAAAGGCGCCTCCCTAAACTATAAACCCCAGAATTCTGCAGGAGGTAGCAACCAGATTGAAAGTGGATTCAATCTCTAGTGTGATGAGGTAGGGTTGCTGTGAGTTTTCTGGGCTGTATGGCCATGTTCCAGAAGCATTCTCTCCTGAAATCTCCCCACATCCATGGCAGGCATCCACAGAGGTTGAGAGGCTCAGGGGTGGTGAGCCCGGAAAACACAGCAACCCATTGATTCTGGCTGTGAAAGCCTTTGACAGAACATTGAACATCTCTACGGGGAGAAACTGTTCCAAGGCACACCTCACAACCTCTGAGGATGCCTGCCATAGACGTGGGCAAAATGTCAGGAATGAATGCTTCTGGAAAATGGCCATACAGCCCTAAAAACTCACAGCAATCCAGTGATTCTGGCCATGAAAGCCTCCAACAACACAATTGAGTCTCAATCTGAGCTGTGGCAAATGGCAGAAGAGGGTGGTAGTTGAAATATATAAGCTGCAGGCAGGAGACACTGTTCTTTTAAAAAGTCTTCTGCATAACTTTCCTTCCTGTAGCTTACTCCCCTTTTATGTACGTTGAGCCAGATTTTACCTTGGGAAAGAGATCCTCCTCACTGCTGCATTTCAGATTCAAATTACACTCTTCCTATGCCATTTGCAGCCATCCAGCAGAGAAACAAGCCTCCAGATTTTTACTGAAGATCTCCCTGTTTGTTAATTGTCGTTGATATTTTTTATGTTGATGTGCTAAATATCCAAATCCTGTCTTGTGAAAAGCTGGATACTCCGGCCTGCACAATGCTTCATTTATTTTTCACAATTCATTCTTCCTTTGCTAGCTATATGGAACAGCATGGAGCTATTTCAGAATGCTTTGGCCTCAGCATTCTGAGGAATTGTGCAATAAAATTGATGAAGCTTGTGTTGCCTATTCTGTGTGAATTTACTGTAGTTACCCCAAATCTTAAGCCTCGTATTCTTCCTGCTCCCCCTCTCCAGGTTACGGCCTTCCCGCTGTCTATACCAATTGCAGTGGCAGCACAGACAGCATGAGTGTCACCATTTTCCCCAAGGATCTGGATTATTACCCTCTGCCTGCAGAAACGATGCCTCCAAACGCTTCCAAGGAGTCTAGCAGGGCCTGTGACAGCATCCCTGGAACTAACTGTCCAAGTCCTCCAAAGTGTAATGGAAGTACGAATACCAGGAACAACTCCTATGTTGGTGACACTATCTATCCCAGTAATCATGACAGGATACCAGTCGCAAGCCCCAGCATGTCACCTCACGCAGACAGCAAAGGTGTGTTTGTGTTTTTATATTTCTTAAGAAGTCGACAGATTTGGCCGAGATCATGTGTGGGAGACGTAGTTCTGATTTGTCTTCCAGTCCAGCCAAGCCTGCCTTAAAAGCCAGGCAGCTGCACCAATGGGAGGCACCAAGAATAACAGGTGCTGTGGTGCAGTGAGCAACCACAAAGAAATTTGTGGGTTCCTGTTGCCTTGATGCACAAGAGCTCACTGGTGGGAGAGGGCTAGACAGGCTAGACCCCTCAGCACCAATTTGCCACCAGGTGGGCTTTACAGGCATTTGTGATTGTGGCTTTGAGGCCACGATCATAAAGGCAAATAGCAAAATGTGCATGATCATATACATAGAGAGAGAGAGAGGGAGGGAGGGAGTTTATGGCACCATAAATATTGAACAGGAGATTAGTTTTTATCTATTTATAGATAAGACATGATGCAAGTGATTTTCATTCTTTTTAGAAAATATCTGTGGCGCTCACATCATTTTGCAGATAAACCACAAGTGCTGGTGGTTATTATGTATGATCACTAAACTATCATGGAGAAAGTGTTGAGAAATAGGAGATTGGAGTCACATTTGGCTAACATGCCCCAAAGTCAGGCATGTAGCCGGGGGGGGGGGGGGGGGGGGGGGCGGGGCTTCGCGCCCCCCCCCCCCCCGCGAAATTCTCATGGTGGTTCTGCGAAAAAGGCCTTACTGGTGCATTATTTAAACTGTTATGTTTATTCATATCATGATGTGATCACCATACTCAATATATCCCATATGCATGGGGGTATTGGGGTAACGATACAAAAGGTTTGCTAGGTAGACCCTCTTTCACTCAGACTCAGCCCCCCCCGAATCAAGCTCAGCCCCCCGAATCAAAATCCTGGCTACGGGCCTGCCCAAAGTAGAGAGGTTCTCGGAGGAAGTTCGATCATGAATAAGCCAAATAGCAGGGGGAAATAGTGCATATTAAGGGTGCTTTACTGACGGTTTCTGTACTCAAAAGTGAGAATAAGGATTTGGTAACTGTAAGTTTTGGCTGTTCATGTTACATGCCACAAGACTCAAAATAGTCAAAACTTGGGAAATAACTTAGAGAATTTGATTAAATAGGACATGAGCTATAGAACTATTGGAAAAGCTAACTTATAAGCAAAGATTATCTAAAGGAGAAATAGAAGATTTGTTTGATGAATCATGGAAGCCATCGTGTGTAAAACTAACGGTGAATTCAAATGCCCAATTGAACAAGGAAGATGAACAATTAGAGAATATATTGCAATAATGATACGTAATGGATGAAACTAGAATAAGTTTCATCCATTATATAAAATATAGAACTGAGGGGGTAGGGGTGCAGGGAGTGTAGATCTGGGAATAGATGATGTAATAACACAACTAATATGTGAAATCTTTTGAAATTAGTAAATAAACCAAAATAAACTAAAAAACCAACACACAGTGAACACAATATGATTTCTCTCTGTATATTTACACACAGATCTGTATGAAGAGACAACTTAGGGTTTTTTTTTAATGCTTTCCTTGAAACCCTTCTGTTTTACTGTCCTTTCAGGTTCTTCACCACCTTTAGGAAAACCTTCTGAGCCTCATGGCCTCTTGTTGCCTCCTGAGGGGTCACTTGAGCCTCTAAAAGGGAGACCTGAACTCTCTCAGACTTTAGCAGAAGAGGCAGAGGCGAAGCAAAGGCTCCTCCTTCTCCCCAATGGACACTTACCGAGGTCATGTGACTCCCTTCATGAGTCAAGCCACTGAAAAGATTGCCACGCTTGTGTGCAAGTGGAATATGGGACATTTCTAGCGAACCTGCAGGATCTCTTTGCACGGAACTGGCTAAGGCTACTTCTACCTCAAGTTCTAAACGAACAGCTTGTCAAAGGAAAAGAAAAAAAAAGAAAACGTAATGAGGTATCGGAAGCAAGCTTGTGTGGGGTTACAAAGCCTTGTCTAAATGGTGCCCACTTGTACATAAATAGTTTTTAAAACTTCGTTGAGAAGTATTTGTGGCTCACACGTCGGCTTGCCTATAAAGCACAGAAATGCAAATGGCTTTGGTGTAAAGTGAACAGAAAAAAGTATTTGATAACAAAGTTTGTACATAAGAGTTTTCATATATGTAAATCTATCTATCTATATTATATATGTATATCTTCTAACAGAGGCTATTTTATTCCCTTGGTGCATGACTGAACTGAGTGAAATGATGCAATGTGGACAGTAGACATTATTTTCTTGCTATAAGGTGGTTGCTGGGATTTTGTTTTAACACACACAACATACACACCAGGAACTATTGTGATGCCTTAGATGGAACTTTAAGGAAAGGCCCATCCTGTTTAAATAGGAAAGACTTTGTTGGTGATCCCTCCTTTCATTAGCAAGTACTGGATTGTTGTTAGCTAGGATTTCTCCTCAGAAATGCCACCTTTGGAGCACAGTCCTCTTAACAGGTCCACTCATCTAGTTCCATGATATTTATTCCCAATGTGCATCATTTTAGAAGTTTAGATGAATACATTATTTCAGCAGAGCTTGAGAATTCTATTTTTTGGGATGTGATAGCTTCCAGTAGTCGTAAGCTAACAGGGCTAGCCAAGCTGTTGTCTGGAAAAGTAACTTTTCCAAGCTCAGGGCCAAGCTTATGCAAAGTGCTCTTGGTTTCAGTAAAGTTGGATCCATACCAGCAAGAGGTTGGTGGTAACTTAATTTCTTTTTAAGTAGTGTTTAAATGTTATAACTCCCAGTATGGACAATAAATAACAGCCATACGTAACTTCAAACCATATTTTAGATCACAACCTAGATCTATTTAAATGCTAACCATTCTCTGAACTAGGCAATGATGTGTGCCTACCTGCAGAACACTATTAGTTGCTATATATACTTCAAAAAGAAGCAAGCAAAAGACTATTAGTGATTGGCAAGCACTTCTTAATCTCTTGAAACCCCCCTATTTTCATCATGGCATCTGCCCCATTCTGTGGGGATATTAAATTATGTCACTAATATTTAGGTTTTCCTCTTGACACCATATTCACCCAGAGATATTTTTTTTTAATTCTTAGAATCCAGAATGTTAGTGAGCTTTCTTTCTGGATTTGAAGAAACCTCTCTGAATTATGGAAAGACTTTTGATTTATGTTCCTCCAAGGAAATAGATTGGGGGGGGGGGGGAGCTATTCAAAAGGTTGTAACAACAAAGGCTACTATTTTTATTTAATTTCTTTTTGATAAAAAAAAAGATATTGTTATCAGTCGCAGAGAGCTATCAGTTACCTAAGCACTATTACAATGCAAACAAACAAAATGCAATGTGAACACACACAGGAAAAAAGCAAGTTTGATATGGAGCATTTTATTTATAAGTTCTGCTTCTTCTCTTAAATGTTTTTACCTGTGTAAAACAAACAATTATGAGGGAAATTGTTTTTTAGATCAGGCATTGGAAAACTTCAACCCTTCAGGTGTTTTGGACTTCAACTCCCACAATTCCTAACAGCCAGGAATTGAAGTCCAAAACTCCTGAAGGGTTTGAAGTTAGCCCATGTCTGTTGTAGATCTAAACAGAAAACTGTTGAATTTAAGTTATGACTTTGGGCCAAAATGGCATTTCATGTTTTCCCCTCCCATGATGTAAGAGTTAAGATACACCTGAGAGTTAAGAGAGCTAAAATGGTGCAGTGGTTTGAGTGTTGGATAAGGATAAAGGGAGACCCGGGTTCAAATATTCGCTCAGCCATGAAAACTTACTGGGCAAGCTGCATCCTCTCAGCCTCTGAGGAAGGCAAAGGCAGGTACCTTCTCAACCCAAAGCGTACCCAAGAAACCCTGTGATAGCATTGCCATAAATCAGGAATGATTTGAAGGCACATAACAACAAAGCCATGACTTAAAGGCCAGTTTCAGAGATGTCAAACTAGGGTCATAAGAAATCTCAGTTCAGAGCAGTGTAAGGAAGAGCTTGCTTAGAGACTCGGGGTTGCCTATGGGACAGGCTCAGTCCCATTCTCAACACCAGTGGAAGCTTTTAGTGGGCCTGTATCATGCTTTTTCCACTTTTAAGTAAGGTGTGAGTATTGCTTTATATCGCTTTGTCTCAATACCTCTTGTCACTAAATAGTGGCAGCATGAGGCCAGGGTAGGATGCATTTACACTGCAAAATGAATGCTGTTTGACACCACTTTAACTGTCATGGAATGCTGCCAAAGAGTGCTAGTGCCTCACTAAACTATATATCCTAAAATTCCATATAGCATTGAGCCATGGCAGTCAAAGCAGTGTCAAACTACATTCATTCCACAGTGTAGATCAGTGGTTCTCAACCTGCTGGTAAATTGGCTGGGATTTCTGGGAATTGTACGCCAAAACACTTGGGGACCCACAGGTTGAGAACTACTGGTGTTGATGAACCCAAAGTTACTCTTTGACTCTGGAGTATATATTTTTCTTCTCATCATTGGTACCATTGTACCACACTTGAATAGAAAGCAACCCATAGTTTGGGTAGACAGCCATCATCTATGAATGTTTCACCCTCTTGTTTTGAGTTCCTACCAAGTTTTCCTGGATCAAGAAAGCTGGCAGGTTTCACACTTTTCCCCAACGTTGGGTAGAGCCTGTATTTTGCACCTCCATTAAAAGAATTCTAACGTCTCCCAGCTCTTTGATGGAGGTATGCAACTGTAAAGCAAAGACTCAGTGCAGCATTATTGCTTCTTGACAGGAGATGCACTTGCACTTTCTGGTAGATGGCTAATTTTGTGAGGTGCCAATTCGAAGCTATTCACTCACATTAAGACTAGTAATAAATGACTGGCCATTGGGGAAAACACAAAAGGGTTCCGGGTGCCTTTCCATCAAGGTAATGTAAAAAAGGCAGAAGGAAGGTGTGGAATTAGGTAATAAGCTTTTTAAGAGTGGCGAAGTAGGAGTTTTAGGTTGGGGGTGGAACATCTACACAGAGAAACATAGGAAAAAGGTATCACCATTGGAAACATTAAGGATCAAGCACACTTGCCACCTAGACATTTTTTTAAAAAAATACTGTATTTTTGGATATGGTTAACTGTTCATTCTAATGTTACTTCCACTAAATATGTGAATCTGCTGCTTCTGAGAGGCAATGTGAAAGAGGAAGTATTACTTTTGTGTACAAAGTTATTTATTTATTAGAAAAATTTTGGTACAATGTTGTACATTGAGAAGTACATTGTAAAAATATTGAAAGTGTCTAACAAATGGCATTGAAGTGTCTTTAATAAAGGTTCATTTATAATATCATTATTTCTGTTCTGGCTCAGAACTGTTTTTTTTAATGATTTTTGTGAAGGAGAAATACTGGAAGGCTGCAATCTCATCCTCAATTACCTAGCAGCAAATCCCACTGAATCTTTAGGACTTCTGCACAGTTGTACTGTAGATGGCCTATGAAATTCCTATTTTTGAACTCATTCCACTATATTGTTAGGGACACAGTGTAAGCATGCTACACGGAGAATTAATATACAATACAATCTCCCATATACGCAGAGGCAAAGTTCCTGGAATTCACCTGGATACAAAAAACTGCAGGTAATAGTGGACCCTATTGAAATGAAGGACTTTTAGTCCAAGAACAGCCTTGCTGGAAGAACTAGAAAATGCCTTTTTGAGAGGATTAATGAAACCATGGATCGAGAGGTTGTACTGTATTGTAAGAGCCAAAGGATAGTCTGTCCAACTCCCTTTCATCCCTCTCCCGAATCCTTTTCTTCTATCCCTTCTCCTTCTACCAGAGAGTGTTTGCTGTTTCCCTCTCCTTGATGTCCTCCCCAACGTTTCTCAGGGGGCATGGTTTAGTACAACTCTTTGAATGAAACCTCCAGGCTGTGTGATAAAAACAAAATATCTAAAGTCTGATGATGAATCAATTGTTTTTTTAAAAGAGAAAATAACATATTACATCACTACAAAGTTTAGGCTCATCTTAGGCTGCAACATTTCCAAACACACTTCCCAGGGAGTATGTATCCAAATGTTCTATGAATGGCGATGATTATGGAAATTTATGCAGAAGGCTCTGGCACCCTGTTCCTGACAGAGCCGATCTCATTGGGTTCAACAGGTGCACCATAGGACAAGTGTATCATTTCCCCACTATGCAGACAACAATGAACTCAGATTAAATTCTTGTAGTTGAACGATACTGCCTCCAGTTTGCCTTCCAAATCATATAGTACCGCTCTACCATTAAAGAATTGTGATATTCATTCACTCTGGTTGTGACTCAGATTTCGTTTCCTTAGGAACAGATGGACTACTACAAAGCAGTTTGTTCCCATTGGCACCCAGACTAAATAACCCTAATGGGACCTAATGGGAAGTCAATTTAGGCCAATAATATTGATGCTGACTGACAGCACTTCTCTTGGTTTTAAGATTCTAACCCTAACCCTAGGAAAGGGACATGAGATCTTCCTGATTGGAAAGCAGTTGCTTCATCACAAAGCAATGTCTTTTCAGCATTACATCCAGTACATACATTGCCACATAACAGCAGACAGCTAGAAGAACTACCAGACCAAAATATCTGGAGGATCAGATGTTTCCACCCCTAAAATGCAGGATTGGACCATAGAAGCATAGAATCATAGAGTTGGAAGAGATCTTGTGGGCCATCCAGTCCAACCCCCTGCCAAGAAGCAGGAAAATTGCAGTTCATTTTAGATTTAACAACAACTGTAGAGAAAGGGCCCCTAAAATTAGGACTTGTGCACTGAAGCAGAGTACCTCTTTCCATCTTTCTAAAGCCAAAAATCATTGACACCCAGGGAAATTGCTTGGTTCAAGCCCAACAGTAGGAAATATTTTTCCAGTGCCTGTGACATCCCATAAGTTACATATACACACCTTGCACACACAAAGACACTTTGCCCATGTCAAATATTTGTGGGAAGGCAAGAGTAAATTACTGGAGACAAAATGGACTCCAGTCATACTTTAGTGGAGAAAATGATGAGACATGGCAGACAAGCCATTAAACCAGCTTGAGATAATTGTAGGAATGGTTTTAGCCCTCCTTCTTGTCTCACTGGCATCCTATGTTTTCCAGCTTTGTTCCAAATGCTGCACACTACAGCTGGGATTCATTGGGGACTCAGTTCTTTGTAAATGGACTTACATCTGCAGGAAATAGAATTGAAAAGTTTTGCAAAGTTTGTTGTCAGCAAGGGGCTGATATTAATGTTGCTATGGACAAGATATAACAAACTGACTCTTGCACATTAGGATGGTTGCACACTGGGACCCAGTAACTAACTATACACAGTTTGAATGATGTCCATCATTACAACTAGTTGGGAAGTCCTGATGCATAATGTCTCCACTAAATAAACCTTCATTCTGAAGAAATGTTGATAATGTAGAATGTTAATTGTACTTGTGTCTAAAGGAGGAGAAAACTTTGTCCTGCAACAGAGCCATCTCAACATTTAAATGATGTGATTTTCCAAGGGGTTGAACTGGATGGCCCATGAGATCCCTTCCAACTCTATGATTCTATGTCCTCTCTGGCAGAACATTTTCTGCACATACATGTATATCTCAGTTAACAAAGTCTCTGACGAAAGAAGCTCCTTTTTTTTTACAAAGCTTAACTATGCTTTCTTTTCCTCATCCTTTGTCTTCCTGAATGGTTTTGAGCAGCATCACCATTGGAAATATAGCTGGAGAAATACAGACTTTCAGTTACTAGGTTGCAAAACTATATCTCCAGTAATGGAATAATATAATGGAACTTAAAATGAGGAAAAAGGAAGTCTACCCAATTTTTGCTATATTTGTGTGCACCAGTCCACAACAGGCAAGATAAACAGTTCCCACCAGAATCCAGTACTGACCATACATCAAAGGCAAAAAGAAAAGAACTGATAAACTTTCCCTACCAGCTCTATCTGGAGCATTAATCCCTAAGTTTGGCCACCAAAATGTAAATCATAAGAAAGGTGGAGGCTGGATATATTTTGGAAGAAGCTTTCAAGTGTTTTCCAAAAGGTTGAAAACGCTTTTGTTTACTTATGTAAGGCTTATTTGGCCAGGTTGTTTCATTTCACATGTGCTTGTTGTTAGTTCTCTATAAACAGTTTGCTGAACTTTATTAAACTGCTCTTCTTTTCTTCTCTCTTTTTTTTGGGTGGTGTAGGATCCTATTCCTATTCCTTCTATCTTATTTCAGCCTCTAGTAACAAAGTTTCTTTCGAAGAACACATTGCCTTCATTAACTCAAGTATACCTCTACATCTGGATCAGTGGAGCAGCAGAACCATGGCTCATGAAGTCAAATGCTATCAGTAGAAACAAGGACATCATTCTTTATCCTACTCTTTCAAGACATCCTTGTTCCCTCATTCTAGCAGGGGAACGATATATTTGGTAAAATCAGACAATTTTCCTAACAGGGAATGTGAAAGGAGAGATCTGAGTGACCATGTTGTTCCGTCCAGGCTTTAATTTCTTATTCTCCTCTTTATTCTGTTCATGCTCATAATCTGTTGCTATCACCACTGTTGATGTGGCTTGAAATGGTCATGACTTATTGCATAAACGCATGTATAGGTCGACTTTGTGTATAAGACAAGAGCATGTTTTAGGGTGAAAATTATGGACTCCATGGATAAGATGAGAATCATTCTGCAGACAGGAGAAAGCAACAATGACATCTGGGGGGAGATCAGTGGGCCCTGGCCACCACTGCCATTTCCTCACCTAGACCTTCAAAAAGGCCAGAAATGGCACCATACAAGAAAAAATAGAGGTGGTCAGTACGTCTCCTGGGATGGTCTAACCTCTTGCCTTTTGCCACTCTACTCTGAGAAGGGTGCCATTCCTGATATGAGCTAAGATGCAGTAGTCATAGTGACTCATGGAAACATTGAGCTAGGTTCTTGGGGTTGATTTCTTTTACTAAAATTTCTAGACTTATATATGAGTATATAGGATACTCTGAAGGCTACTCTTTCCTGGAATAAGCTCACTAACCTCATTAGAGGAAGGGACCATTCAAACCATGCTGGCAGCCAGCATACCCTTCCTCTTTTCCTAAGAGAGCTCCGCAACTCACTGCTTTTAAAAACTCTCCCAAAAGCTTCAACACCAGTTCACCAAGGAGAACACAGAAAAACAAACAAACAAACTTAAAATCATAGAGTTGAAAGAGACCTCATGGGCCATCCAGTCCAACCCCCTGCCAAGAAGCAGGAAATTCGCATTCAAAGCACCCCTGACAGATGGCCATCCATCCTCTGCTTAAAAGCCTCCAAAGAAGGAGCTTCCACTTACTCTATTACCCTGAAGATGACAGCAAGAAACAAAAAAGCATACCACCACCCTTCAAGCACCCGCCCACTCACTCACTCATTCAGGAGCAATGCTATTGTGGTAAATGTTGCTATCCCAGAAGCAAGGCACTGTGATTCACAGCCTTTCCATTCAAGTGAGGAAAAACATCCTTCTCTGATCCATTCTTCATTCCCTCCACCCCCCAAATCTCCTCCCCCCCCCCCTTGGTGTGTGAGGCCAGGCTGCTGTAGAAGCAAGGGGTGGGAAAGGGAGAAAAAAAAAGGAAAACCRGGGTTTTGTTTCTTTTTCATAGGCAACATTGTCAGAGAGGAAAACAATACAACATTGTACTTTTACTGGGGAAATCTGAGTCTAATTAAAAAAGGCAGCCTTGCTTATCCAAGCAAGAATGCTTGCTATGCACCTGCAGGTATGAACAGTGGTCTAAACTTTCCAAATGGGTCTCAGACAAGAAACAAATGGCCTTTTCCCCTTACGTAGACATTTTTGAAAAAGAAACCTACACCGGAGCCTCTTCCGCCTGTCCCTTGGAGCATAGCAGGCCCGGCCTTTGGAAATGCAAACAGGGCAGATCTCCTCTTCTCCGCTTCCTCCTCGAGGCCATGATTCCGGTGCCACAGAACGAAGGAAGGCTCCTTTCACTCCTGCCATGCTGCGGGGCCCATGTTCTTCTCATTTGCACATCATTCCCCCTAAACGAGTCCTAATAACGATGCCTTTCAGGCACAAGGCTGGAGCCCATAAAAAGAGTCACTTGCCCCCCAAAATGTGCCTTTCTTGGCAGGCTCTTTCCAATGAGCTCACCACTAGAACAGGGGTTTCCATACATGGAAATTTTATATTAGGGAAACGGAATTAAGGGGTTTCTTTTTCTTGTTTAAGGAGCGGGAATAGAGTCCAGGCTGTCGAACAGCTGCGAAGCCACAGGAGGCAGGATGGAGGTGGGATAGTGGTGGGAAAGGGAGGGGGAGATTTGTGGGAAAGCAAATGAACAACTTTCTTTTCTTCCCCCTTTCAGGAACAGGGAGAGAGAGCAGAGCAGTTTCTCAGCTGTTTGCTTCAAGTCCCTAAAACATTTCACAAAAGCAATCTGCGGATCTTGTCATACATCCCAAGGAAGATAAAGCCTCCAAGGCTGATGGCAGACATTCGTGGGACAATGCCTGCAAATAACCTGGAAAGAAAAAAGGGAAAAAATGGGGAAGAAAGGGCAGATTTATTTAAACTTACTAGCTTAAATGAATATATAAGATCCCATCCCCACTTTTTTTAGATGAGCTTGGAAAAGGGACTGTTTTGGATTACAACTCCTCAAATCCCACAGCACAAAGTCCAAAAACATAAGCTCTGGAAAATCTCTGCTTCTTCCTGAGACACTCTTGACATGCTTGACTTCTGGCACACCTATAATCCCTCTCTCTTTTGTAAGAGAAAGAAGACACCACTCCAGAGACTGGAAAAGTTACTTTTCTGGACTATGATGATCGTAATTTTCCTTGCTAGCATTGCCAGTTTATATAATGGACAGAGATTCAGGCGGCTGCAACACTAAAAAGTAACTAGGGGTGATAAATTGTTTTTAACAGCCTTTTAGCCCCCAGTGGTGCAATGGGTTAAACCTGCAGGCTGAGAAAAGCAGTATACAAGTATAATAAACAAACAAACAAACAAACAAACCCTTGCGCTGGCAGGACTGAAGACCAACAGGTCAGAGGTTAAAATCTGGGGATAGCACAGATAAGTTCCCTCTATTAGCTACAGCTTCCCATGCGGGGACATGAGAGAAGCCTCTCACAAGGATGGTAAAACATCAAAACATCCAGGCGTCCCCTGGGCAACATCCTGGCAGATGCCCAATTCTCTCACACCAGAAGCAACTTGCAGTTTCTCAAATCGTTCCTGACAAAAAATCTTTTAAACTACAACCTAGTCTTTTAAGCGGCAGTTCCAATTAATGCTGTGCAGTAGTTTAATTCTCTTAATGTTCACCTTCCATTTGTATTTTACTGCATTTTTTAAAATTGCAAGCCACTTTTATTTCCAATTTTGGGAGACGGGCAAGATGCCAAATGGTCATTCAGGTGGAAAATAAAAGGTTTGCATCACAGGATGTCTCTCTGAAATATAGTCAAGGAAATCTCATTTTCATTGGAATGTGAGAGCGATCTGGCTGCGACATCTGTCACCCCATTGATCGCCAGGGTTGATTCAGAGGGCCTTTCCCTTCCAGCACATGTATTCTGGATAAAATGTGAGCCCTGCCATGCTTGTCCAAGAAACAGGTATCAACCATACCCTCGCCTCCCAAATTTCAAGTGACCCATGGGTTTAAGGGCTCTCTAGTGGCACAACGGGTTAAACCACTGAGCTGCTGAACTTGCTGACCAAAAGGTTGGTGGTTTAAATCTGGGGAGCAGGGGTTAGCCCCGGCTTCCGCCAACCTAGCAGTTCAAAAACATGCAAATATGAGTAGATCAATAGGTACCACTTCAGCGGGAAGGTAACAATGCTCCATGCAGTCATGCTGGCCACATGACCTTGGAGGTGTCTATGGACAATGTTGGCTCTTTGGCTTAGAAATGAAGATAAGCCCATGCAGACTACAAATTGCTTCCTACTCCACAGGATACACAATGATAGTCACCCTTGTCCCCTTCTTCCCCAACTGAACTGGTTCAACTACAGATTCTCTTCAAATTTCACCTTCTGCTATTAGAGATAACAGGGACTAGGTCTGATCTATGACAAAAAATCAGATACATGGAGACTGTAATTATGTCTCCCCAAATCCTCTCTTTTTCAGGCTAATTATACTCCACCATTTCAACTACCCTTCACAGGATGTGGTGTCCACATAAATTGTCCTCCTAGTCAGTCTTTTTCATTGTGCGTATGTGCCCTATGAATTTCATAGGGTCATCTTACTAACGAATACTGTGAAGAGGTTTTAGCAGTTCCCATCTCTGAAATATAGCCCACAGCACTTGATACTCTGATAGACACTCCTTAATTTGTCCAAGTCATTTTTAAAATATGGCACCCAGAACTAGGCAGAGTACCTCAAATGAAGTAGGCTTCAAGGAGAACAGAAGCATTACTTTCTTTAGTCTTGTGTACTAAGCTCTTTTGAAAGCTACCCAAATACTGCATTCATTTCCTCCTCTGCTGCTTTACACTGCTGACTCATATTTAGTTTGTGGTCCACTTCAAGACAGAAAGGCTCATCTACTACTCTCAAGTTAGCTCGCCCCCATCCTGTTTCTGTGGCCTTGGGTTTCCTTAAAAAAAAACCCCACATTTATCTCTGCTGAATCTCGTATAGTTAGTTTCAGTGATAACAACTGGTGGTCCAGATGTCTTTAAGAGGAGATTACAAGGAAAGAAGACAAAATTCATAAGGGAAAAGCCTATCAATAGCTATTTGTCACAATGGCTATATGGACCCACTGTGTTTAGAAGGAGTGTCAAGTAGGTCTTGATAAAGAGAGAAGAATATTGCCCTCATGTCTTGTTGGAAGCCTTCCTAAGACATTTGGTTGTCTACTATGGGGAAACAGGATGCCAAGCCTGAGGATGCTTTGGTCTAATCCCATTGGACTCCTCCTATCTCCTTATGTTTGCTTTATGGCAGTAGTTCTCAACCTGGGAGTTCCCAGGTGTTTTGGCCTACAACTCCCAGAAATCCCAGCCAGTTTACCAGCTGTTACAATTTCAGGGAGTTGAAGGCCAAAACATCTGGTGACCCACAGGTTGAAAACCACTGCTTTATGGCCAATTTTAACAGTCAGATGCAGGATTACGTTAACATACCTAAGTAATGTTAACAATGGAAACACTCACAAACCAACCTCAAAACAAATTCAAAATCCCGCTTAATTACAATTAAAATGATGTCCAATTCTTTATATGCTGTGTTTTTGTCCCCAGATGCCTGTGAATCAGGAACCACAGTTTCTGGGGTAGAAAGTATAAAAATGGAGTTTGAAAAAGTTACTTTTCTGAAATACAGTTTCTAGAATTATAGACTCTTAAGAGTTAGAAGGGGCTGCAAGTCCAGTTCCTTGCCATGTATACGAGTCCTCCAATAATCCTCAAAGATGACTGAAAGTAGATCTGAGTTACATCTGCAAGTGTCTTTAGTATACTTGGATGCAGTTCATTCAGCCTTGGGGCCTTGAGTTCATTTGCACTATGAGGAATCCCATTACTATCTATTCCTTTACTATTTATCTTAACTATTTAGCTATTATGTGCTGCCATATTCTTGTTGCATAATTTGTTTTATTTTTACCTGTCAGAAAACCTTTCCTTTTTGGAAGAAGGCTGAGAAAAAAGAAGATATTAAACTTCTCTTCGTCCCCTCTTAACATTTCACTGACTTCTCTACACAGTGGCCCTACTACTCCTTTAGTTTTCATCTTGCTTTCTTGACAGTAGTTGTGTTGGCTCATGAATTCTGGGAGTTGTGGTGAAAAATAATAACGTTTCCAAGCTCTGTTGTATTATCACATAGATAAAATAGGAGAGCAAGCATAAGCCATCTGTCTAGCAACCAATTACTAATTTCCTTCATATTTTTGGCCAAATTCCAAATGCAGATGATTTTTACATTTCAGGACTGTTCCATTCCTTACACAAATGGGCTAGTCCCTGTCCCTTGACATACATAATGTTTCAATCTACACATTCACCAACTGAAACCAGGGTTTCATCATTCCAGCAGAAAACTACCATTCATCAAAAATCTGTATGGATTTTGCAGCCTGATGAAGTGTCTCATGTATTCCTCTACTGAGGAAAATAATACATATGGACTGGCTCTAGGTTTTTTCCCCTGCAATAAAGGAGTATTTCTGAAACCTGTCACATTTCTTGCTAAGGCCAAAGCCCCTGGATTAATCGGTAGGCCTTTGGCAGGCTGGTGCCAGCTCTGCAACAGATATTTATGGGTTCTCTCTCCCTTCCTCAAATCACTATTTACTTAGATTCAATGCTCCGTTAACCTCTTTGCTGCACTTGCTCTAGTCTGTGGTAATGAGCTTAGCTTCAGGGCTGCGGCAGGCAGATGGAAATGTTTTATGGTTTCACTAGACAGCAATTCTCTCTATTACCATAATTACAGCTTTAAAGCCAAGTAATTTGTAACAAGGCAAGTACTGACAGAGCATTCCATGGATAGATCTGGCAGTAGAACATCATAGTTTGTGACACAAATGCTGTTGTCTTTATCGGATGCTGAGATACTTTCGTTGGAAGAGCCCAACATCTTCAATTGACACCTACTTATTGCCAAAGTTGCATTTGACAAACGAACCACGCACAAACACATTACCCACATGCTAAGCTACTTACAGTATCCTGTTCAATCTCAAATCACTCTAATATAGGTGATTCTCTCTTGGCTTGTATTCCTTTCAGTCATGGGTTCACAATAATAACCTTCCCCATACGAAAAACAGGAAGCCCATCTTAAGATACTAAAAAGATGGTCTTTGCATTAATTGAAAATCCAGATGTGCTATGAGTACTCTTAAGACCTTATCCAAGTCTTAGCATCTTGAGATGTGTATCCTATTTCTCCTATGGATTTCACCGGATAGCTTTGTTGGCTTCACCTTCCATGTAAGATATTTATATCAAGGACATGTCTTAATTTTAAGGACACCTGTGAATTCCCTCCAAAGCAATCTGAATTCTAATAGACAATTAATATTTCCTCCAAAGCAACCTTAGTTCCATGACTCAACTCAAATTTCCTCCAAAGTCAACAAGGGAGGAAACTCAAAACTATTTCATGTTTTCCCTCATGCTACACAACTGTGTCTTCTTCCATAGGCCACAACAAATCTCTAAAAGAACTAGTAGTTTATGTATTTAACACATTGATTCACCTGATACTAAAGCTTCAATGTTTGGGTATTGCTCTCCTGGATACTAGAATGCGTTGACAGCTTCTCACCTGGACCACCAAGTTTAAGCTACAACATAACAGAAACACTGTCTTGCACTTCTTGGTCTGGATGGTTGCCAAAATCTCAATAGAGAGATATGAAAAGATGCATTTGAATACCAGGTAGTCCTGACACTCTAGATGTCACCCACATGAATAGGGCTCCACAGTCACCTATGTATCCACTGTCAAAACTCTACACTTGGAAGGCCATCATACTCAGACAATTAGGGATCGCCTAAGTAAGTAAGTGATCCACATGAGTCCTTTTCCCTCAAGATACAGTTCTGGTGATAATCCAAGGCAAACCTTAATCCATGAGTATTATTTGAAGGAGATTAGTCTGCAACCAATATACAGATATGCAGTTTTGTTAAGAATGTGTCTAGCAACTTCATTTTCTAGCACTAGCAATCTATAGTCTTAGCAAAACTGTAGCCGTGGATGCTATGGCTGCTAGGATAAGTCAACTTAAGTCTCTGTGTACAGACGCTCAAGATCCAGGGCAAAGCTTTACACATTATCTCAGAAATCAATTTGTTACAATAGCACTTATTTCCAAGTATGTTGGAAACTTCCAATATGAATCTAGCTCTCATTCAGCATCCTGTCTACAGTCATCTCCATTCTTCCGTGCTGAATGAAGTGCCTAATATCACACAAAATTTGCAAAGCCCAGTCATGTCTGATTAGCAAAAGGTTAAAAGGTGTTTTATGTGGATTTAAACACAGCTGCAACGGAGGACTGAGAAAAGCCAAGGTATACAAAATCAGGAAGATACCGATTTGAAACGACAAAAGCATGCAAATATGTAATTCATGAATTAATCTCTCCTTAAAATCTCCCGTTATACCATTGCCAAAATTCCTACAGGGTGGGATGTTAATTGGTTCGCGTGTAAATCCATGGCTCAGGTGCCAAAAGAAACCAAAATGTGCCCTTTAGTTTTAATAAGGTAGCAATCTGCAACACAGATCTGTATTTGTTTTTGTCTTCTTTTGTTGTGAAGGAATGATTGATCAGACAAATCATTCATCACTCTCGATTTCAGGAAGCACAATGCCTGACACTTTTATTGTTCTGATTAATAGATTTTTTTTTGGAACCAGCCCTGGCAGAACTCGTCTTGAGTATTTTCTAACCTTCCACTAAGACTTAGAATTATGGTTAGAAGAGACCTCGTGGGCCATCCAGTCTAATCCCCTCCCAAGAAGCAGGAAAATTGCATTCACTTGCTGTGAATTTTCCTCAGCTTGCTATGCCTTTCTTTCTACAAAAAAAAAAAAACTTCATTCCCTTTGACTAATTTCAGTAGCTTTAAATAAATATATCCATCTAGCTACCCATCCATTCAAAACTAGACACTGAACATTACTAAGTGGACTATTGGTTTCCTTAAACAGAAAGCTGTTGTTTCTGCCTCTTGTAAATTTCTTTGCTCACACAAAACTATGGATTTCTCTGCCACAAGATGCACAGATAGCCACTAAATTCAGAAAGTTATGAGATTAGATAAACTTATGGAAGATGAGGCTCTCAGTTGTTACTAGCATTGATTGCTATTTATTCTTCTTGCTCACAAAAGGAGGATTCCTCTCAACACAAACTGCTGGGAAGCATAAGGGAGAAGGAGATTCTTCATCCCTGCCATGGGCTTACTCAATGTTTTACTTATTTATCCTATTTACATCCCACCTTTCTCTCTACATAGGAACCAAGGGACCACAATAGCTAAAGTTTTTTTTTTTTATCATGTCAGAAGTGACTTGAGAAATGACTTCTGGTGTGAGAGAATTGGCCATCTGCAAGGATTTTGCCCAGGGGATACCCGGATGTTTTACCATCTCATGGAAGACTTTTCTCATGTCACTGCAAGGGAAGTTGGAGCTGACACATGGGAGCTCACCCCATCTCGTGGATTCGAACTATCGACCTTCAGGTGAGCAGTCCAACTGGCACAAGAGCTTAACCCATTGTGCCACCACTGCTCCTTAACTAAAGTCAAAGTAAAACACAACACTGGCCAACACATATTTTGGTGCCTCAAATGTTAAACCTGTTACTGGGTATATTTGACCTGCTGATTCCAAAAATGACACCACTTTTCTCCCATCAACCCCAATTTTTTGAGATACAGAACATATGCCGTCTACCAGTCTTCATTTGCTCACCCATAGAAAACCATGATAACCATATTGAAGAAACTAGAGTGGTCTATCCAATGTAATTTTCTGAACCAGTGTCCCAAATAACCCCAGGAACAGGCCAAAAAGCCAAGACACCAAAAACTTTTTTGTTGGCCTGTGTAATTGATACACACCAATTGTAAACAAAATGTTTCTTAAAAAACCAAACACAATTACATAAACAATTCCATTAAATTTACCACAAATTCAAAATATTTTATAAGCATTTCAAAAATATCTATGAAAATAGAAGTACGGCATACCCACCCTTATTGAAAGATACTTCTGCAATACCCAAAACCTGGTTCACATAAAAAGGCCAAGGAAGAAGGACTGACTTCCACAGCCTGGGAGCTGCCACAGAGAAAGTATTCTGATGTACTTTCATATAGGCAGAACCCAAGCCATAGAACAGTGGTTCTCACCATGTGGGTCCCCAGATATTTTGGCCTTAAACTTCGAGAAACCCTAACAGCTGGGAAATTGGCTGGGATTTCTGTGAGTTGTTGGCCAAAACACCTGGGGACCCACAGGTTGAGAACCTCTGATCTAGAAGATATATGTTTTCTGTAGCTATTTGAATTGTGCCCAGAAAGTCTTGTAGTGATGATCCACCAAGCAGGAAGAAAACAAATCGGACTATGGATACTTTTTCAGTCTGATCTGAAACATAACTTATCTTTGCATCTAACGAGTCAGTCCTAAGGTGTGCTGAAGTATCAAATACTATTGGTGAGTGAATGTCGCTTTAAATTTCATAAATTCTTCGTACAAATAACCAGCAAGCATTCATCACATTAATCTCAGGAAATACACATGACCAATGCCATTTGAATTGGGTGTAAAGAGTAAAATCCATTGTTTCTAACATGCCATGGTGACATGTTTTCACTACTAATCTACCCTCTGAGCCTTACCCTGATATCCCTTCTGCCTTCCACACTCCATGCAAAGCTGATAATACATCCCCACTTGCAGTTCTGGAGCCAGTCTGTACAGAAAGAGAAAGAGAGACATAAACCTATGGAGTTATTGTAAAAGTCAACTGCTGGGCCATCTTGTTTAGTACTGTTTCTATTCCAAATACTTATGCACAAGGAGCCCCCAATGGTGCAATGGGTTAAACCCTTGTGCTGGCAGGACTGAAGACTGACAGGTTGGAGGTTTGAATCCGGGGAGAGCTCGGATGAGCTCCCTCTGTCAGCTCCAGCTCCCCATGTGGGGACATGTGAGAAACCTCCCACAAAGACGGGCGTCCCCTGGGCAGCGTCCTTGCAGATGGCCTATTCTCTCACACCAGAAGCAACTTGCAGTTTTTCAAGTCGCTCCTCATACGGAAAATTGCACAAGTTTTATAAAAGTATTAAAAACAAAGATGTCAGGGGAGGGATCTCAGAAATTATGCCTGAAGTAAATCAACAGACATGGAGGAGGAGGAGGAGGAGGAGGAGGAGGAGGAGGAGGAGGAGGAGGAGGAGGAGGAGGAGGAGGAGGAGGAGGAGGAGGAGGAGGAGGAGGAGGAGGGGGAGGAGGAGGAGGAGGAGGAGGAGGATTTTATTTACCTTCCCCTATGAATTGAGGCAGGGAACAATAGATTAAAATACAGCAACAAAAGGACGCATGATATAATTAAAAACATAAAAATCGATTAAAAGGAATACAATCAGCCAAAAGAACATCACCACCGGCATACATGTCAAAAACAATCAATTCAGAATTTAAAATGAATTCATAATCTGAAGACCATTTGGATGGGTCTGCCAGAAGAGATTGGGCTTTAATGCTCTTTTAAACACAGACAATGTATCTAGCTGTTCAATTTGGGTAATTCATTCTACAATTTGGGGGTGGCTGAAGAAAAAATTCTCTGGTTAACAGTTGCCAACCTAGTCTTGGTTGATGAAATTAATGTTCCTTAGAAAGCCTGACTGTATGGGACAGATTATATAGGAGAAGACAATCCTATAACTACCCTGGACTCAAACCATATAGTTCAGGGGTATGAAACTTATTTTCATTGAGGGCCACATCAGCCTCATGCTGGCCTTCAAAGGGCCATGGATGGAGAATCCGTGGATACAGAGAGCCATCTCTCTCTCTCTACGCGCGCGCGCGCATACACACACACAGAGTGGTCAGTGCTCTTTAGTTTTCACCCAATTTGGGTCCCCAGATGTTATTGAACGGCAGCCCACATAATATTGCATTATCCCCACATGGACTTAAGATCATGGGAATTGAAACTCATCAGAACTTCCGGCTCTGAAGTTGGGGAAAGGTTAAAGGACATTTTAGAGTCAGACATCATATGCACAAGCCTTGTATCTCAATGCAAATACCACCATCCTGACTTAACAGAACATACTGCAGCCTTCCATATGTTACTGTTTCACAACTTGCATCAGCTCTAGTTGTGATGTCTAATGATGAGGAATACAGGAGTTGTAATTCAACATCTGAAGGGCCACATAAGATGACCTGGTGGGCCCAGTTTCGCCCACAGGCCTTGAGTATGGCATATGTAATGAAGGGTTTCAAATACTTTATATCTTGCCTGGAAACTAAATGGCAGAATGATTTTTCTTGTGTCAGAAGCAACTTGAGAAATTGCAAGTCGCTTCTCGTGTGAGAGAATTGGTCATCTGCAAGGACATTGCCTAGGGGATGCCCGGATGTTTTACCATCCTGTAAGAGGCTTCTCCCATGTCTCCGCAAGGGAAGCTGGAGCTGACAGGCAGGAGATCACCCCATCTCGCAGATTCAAACCACCAACCTTCAGGTCAGCAATTCAGCCAGCACAAGGGTTTAACCCATTGCACCACTGCGGCTCCTTGGCAAAATGATGATTGCAAAATTGTCAACTGTTATCAGTGATATTCAGAAAAAAACGTATCACAAAACAATGTAGAGCTGGTAGTTATGGCATATTTTCAAGACAATCCTGGGATTGTTCCCACAATTTGTCAAAGTCGTTTATGGGCGAAAGAAACAAGATATATGTCTGGTGGCTCTATCCTTCACTAAAGTGCAAGTTTCTTATTTTCATGAAGGTTTTTATAATAAAGCATTCTGGCACTATGATTATTTCTCCATACACTCTTAAAAAAAGATGGATCCACTAGACACGGGAATCCTGTTGCTGCATTACACATTATACTGGTAAAACTATGCTAGTAACAGGCTGCTCAGAGCAATTTTGATTTACTTTCCTTTCTATTGTGTCAGGAATGACTTGAGAAAATGCAAGTCACTTTCCTATGCCTCCACTATACAACTGAGAAAAGCGCAACTGCATATATAGTACTACAACAGGATTCCAGAAATAGAACACATTTTGTGGGTATTGCTTTGCAGTGGCTCTGCTCCTTCCTGGAGGATGATATCCAGTTGGTGAAGCTGGGGCACATCTGCTCGGACCCCTGGACATTAACCTGTGGAGTCCCGCAAGGTACCATGCTATTTCCCTGCTTTTTAACATCTACATGAAACCGCTGGGGGAGGTCATCTGGAGTTTTGGACTTTGGTGCCATCTGTATGCAGATGACACTCAACTCTACTACTCTTTTCCACCTAACTCCAAGGAAGCCTCCTGGATCTGGGACCAGTGCCTGGCAACCGTGATGGACTGGATGAGAGATAACACACTGAAGCTTAATCCAGACAAGACAAGCATCCTCCTGGTCAGTCGTGAGGCCGATTGGGGTATATTGTGGCAACCTGTGCTTGACAAGGTTGCACTCCCCCTGAGGACACAGGTCTGCAGTCTGGGAGTCCTCCTGGATTCAGCATTGACACTTGATGCCCAGGTGTCAGCGGTGGTTGGGAGGGCCTTCACATAGTTAAAGCTTGTGCGCTAGCTGCGACTGTACCTCAAGAAGCCTGATTTGGCCACAGTGTTCCATGTCTTGGTTACATCCAGATTGGATTATTGCAATGCACTCTACATGGGGCTGCCTTTGAAGATGGCCCGAAAACTGCAACTGGTACAAAGGTTGGCAGCCAGACTTCCAACTGAAGCTAATTATAGGAAGCACATGACACCCCTATTAAAGCAGCTCCACTGGCTGCTGATAATTTTCCGGTCTCAATTCAAGGTGCAGGTTATAACCTACAAAGCCCTAAACCAGGGGTCCTCAAACTTTTTAAACAGAGGGCCAGGTCACAGTCCCTCAAACTGTTGGAGGGCCGGATTATAATTTGAAAAAAACATGAATGAATTCCTATGCACACTGCACATATCTTATTTGTAGTGCAAAAACACTTAAAAACAATACAATAATTAAAATGAAGAACAATTTTAACAAATATAAACTTACTAGTATTTCAATGGGAAGTGTGGACCTGCTTTTGGCTGATGAGATAAGATCGTTGTTGTTGTTGTTGTGTGCTTTCAAGTTGTTTCAGACTTAGGTTGACCCTGAGCAAGGGCCGGATAAATGACCTCGGAGGGCCGTATCTGGCCCCCGGGCCTTAGTTTGAGGACCCCTGCCCTAAACAGTTCAGGCCCTGCCTATCTTCGTGATCACATCTTCCCCTATGAGCCGGCACGGGCTCTAAGATCTGCTGGGGATGACCTCCTCTTGCTTCCACCATCATCACAAGCATGGTTGGTGAGGACAAGAGAGGGGGCCTTCTTGGTGGTAGCCCCCCAACTTTGTAATACTCTCTCCAGGGAGATTAGGCAAGCCTCCACACTGTCCTCCTTTCATAGGGATTTGAAAACCTGGATGTTCCAGCAAGGATTCGAGATTGATTAGTCACTAGTTATATATGCGCCATCCCTAAGTCGCCAAACAGTACTCTGTTTTGCACTTTATCCACTTCCCCGGCCCTATACTCCTTGCCCAGCCTTTGCACTACTCCTTGCCCAGCCTTTTTATAGCTTGACAATCCCCATTTTAGAAATCTTGGTTATTTTGTTGAACCTAGTCTGATGGAGCTCCAATATAATCTGTTCTATTTAGTTGTTCAGTCTGTTTTATCTAGGTTATTATATTTTATGATGCTCCTATTTTATTATGTTTTGTTTTATGGATTGTTTTTGCTTTTGGGGAGATGGGGGTGGGGTATATGAATAAAGTTGTTGTTGTTGACCAAGATAGTTTTAAATGGTGTATTTTAATATTGAGATAAATGTTTTTAATTTTATGTATGTATATATGAATTCTTGTCCTGGCATTGTATGTTTGCCGTATATATGCTGTGCTCCGCCCTGAGTTCCCTTCGGGGTGAGAAGGGCAGAATATAAATGTTTTAAATAAATAATAAATAAATAGTTATTATTGTTGTTGTTGCAATACAATGTTATAGCAGTTATATACCATTGTAATTGCTATAGCTCCTTCTTACAGATTCAAAGCAGTACACTGGGGTTCTCTAGTACAAATGGTAGGATTCTGTAGGATGCAGACATTGCTGATAAACTGGTACCAGACTGCTTTAACTATGCAGTGCAAATACACTTATAGGGGTGTGATTTGTCCTGGTGGATTTGAATTTCTTATCCAGCTTTAGAGAAATTGCCATTCCAACTTTTTGGTTTCATTCATACATATATATATATACACACACACATAAACACACACACACGTGTGCCAGTAAGTGCACAGACATCTATATCTATACATGCAAACATACACAAAAAGAGGCATGTTTCCTTCAGTGTATTGATAAATATTGATTTGGCTAGGTGGTTGTTAGCCCTGAATTATAAAAATGAAGCAAACTCATTAGTAGATGAAACTAGGCATTATTTGAGCAACTTGATAGAAGCAACTTAGTGGAACAAGAACCTTAAGGTGATAAGGAACACCAGGAGTAATGGCACTAGAATGATGGATACAGATACCCTAACCATAAAATGCAAAAAGGAAACCATTAGAGGTGCTGGATTCAATTTTGCATCTACTAAGCAAAATCCTAGAGCTATTAACCTGCAAACTCGTCAGTCTGTTCCACACTGTTCTTCTGGCTCTTACCTTTGCCAGCATAATTCTTGTCTTGGCTACATCCAGAGGGGTGGTGACTGCAGCTGCAAATCCACCTGAGCGTATAAAAATGCCAAACACAAGCAAGACTTTGTTTGTTAAATATGTATGCTGCACAGCCCCAGAGTTCCCACAGCTTCTGCCAAAACTACTTCATTATTAATGCCTACAACTTGTCTCTCAATGAAGGATCTAGGTAGATCTGTTAGAAACTAGTGTGACTTTGGTTTGTGATAATCAGTGCAAAAAAACAAAAACAAAAAACAACCCCACACTTAATTCAAATAACAATAAGAATAATAGTAGTGGTCAAAAGAGATGCATCATTTGCCCCAATCCTGAACTTGGAACCAGATATCAGACTTCCCTCTCCTTCATCAATATGATTACACCTTAGCAGTGTTCAGGGATCCCAAAGATGGATTCTGGAACCCTCATTTAATAATATCACAACTGAAGTTCTCTTGGCCTAGACACGTTGCATTTGTCCATCTTCTTCTCACTATCTAGTCTTTGCTTTACTCTTGCTGTAGTTCACCAGGATTTCCCATCCTTTCCATTGCATGCTGCCTCTTTTAAACATGGGGATGGGTTATCTTTATCCTTACTAATGTTCATAATCTATATGTTTCCATGTGAATGTTTGGGATAACAAGATTTGTGCTCTGTATCCATCTGGTCAGTTATTCATTCCACCTTTTATAGACCCTTGGTACCTGTCTTACACCCACGAATCCTTGGTATCATTTCTTGTTTCCAAAATGGCCACCACCCTTTATTCTTCATTTATAGCTTCGGGGGGGGGGGGGGGGGTCTTGTTCTTTAACAAAGGCAGCACAAAGGCAGCAGCGGATGGGGCAAGGCAGGGAAGCAGGAACCCACAAGCAGACACTCCTGACAGATGGCCATCCAACATCTGTTAACATTTTTCCAAATAAGGAGATTCCCCCATGCTCCAAGGCAGCATATTCCACTGTTGAACAGCTCTTACCATCGGGAAGTTCTTTCTAAAGTTTAGGTAGAATATTTTTTTCTATACTTTGAATCCTTTGCTCCATTTTCTGCTTCCTAAATAGCCTTGCAAATATTTACACATGGCTATCATGTCCACTCTTAACCTTTGCTTCAAGCTAAAAAATCCCCAGTTCCCTAATAATAATAATAATAATAATAATAATAATAATCATAATCATCATCATCATCATCATCATCATCATCATCATCATCATCATCATCTTTATTTATACCCTGCCACCATCTTCCCTGAGAGACTTGGGATGGCTCACAAAATCACTCTAGGGTGCCACACATAAAATAGAAATACAGAAGCATAAAAACAGTACAACATACATTTAACCAAATACAGGGCCAAACACTTGTTTAAAAAGTCAAGTTTTAGGCTACACCAAAAGGTTTGTAGAGTGGGAGCTAATGTAATCTCTCTAGGGAGGGCATTCCAGAGCCGTGGAGCCATGACCGAGAAGGCCCTAGATCACGTCCCCACCAACTGTACCTGAGGCGGTGGCAGGCCTGAGAGAAAGGCCTCCCTGGAAGATCTCAGATCCTGCACTGATTCCAGACCTTTGACCTTTTTGGTCACACTTCTTTGTTTTTATTTAATTAGAATTTATTAATTTTTATATAGATTACAACGAAAGAGTGAGAATAATAAAGTATAGGAAAGTGAGGAAATGAAGAAAAAAAGAGAAAAAAGAAGGAACAAACTTCTTTAAATACATTCTAATTTGTCCATATCCTTGAACTACGGGGCCCAGAACTGGACGCAGAGTTATGGCAGGTGAGGTTTGACCAAAGCAGAATAGAGAGGGAATATGATTTCTCTTGATCTCAAAGCACACTCCTATTGATGCAGCCTAGAGTAGAATTGGCTTTTAAAAAAACTTATGTTCAGCTTGTGATCTACAATGACTCCTAGACCTCTTTCACTCACAGGCATTGTTGTCATATATCACTCCTCCTGTATCTGTGCATTTCGCTTTTTCTGCCTTAGCATAGTACTAAGCTGCGGTAATACAGTGGGTTAAACTGCTAGCTGCAGAAAATCTGCTGACTAGAGGGTTAGCAGTTTGAAGCCGTGAGTCGGAATGAGCTCCTGCTGTCAGCCCTTGCTTCTGCCAACCTGGCAGTTTGAAAGCATCTAATGCAAGTAGATCAATAGGTACCACCTCAGCGGGAAGGTAAAACGGCACCCCATGCAGACATGCCAGCAAAACACAATCGGAGATGTCTACGATCAACAGGCACCTCGGCATGGAAAAATGGAACAAGAGCATTGCCTCCAGACACCAAAGACGGAAGGGAAAAGCTTTTACCTGTATCTGTGTATTGTATGTCATTGTTGCTCACTGTGTAAAAGGCACTGAATGTTTGCCTTATACGTGTATATACTATAATCTGCTCTAAGTCCCTCCGGGGAGAAAAAGCAGAATATAAATAAAGTGTTGTTGTTGTTGTTGTTGCTGTTGTTATGTAAGAACATTACTTCCTGTTGAAATTCATTTTGTTACTTTTGACCCAACTTTTTAATCTCTTAAGATCATTTTCAATTCTGATTCTGTCCTCAAGAGTATTTACTATCCCTCCCAATTTGATGTCATCTGCAAATTTGATAAGCATGCCTTCTATTCCAAATCACTGATAAAGATGTCGGATAGGACTAGGCCCAGGGCAGACTCCAATGGCACCCTGCTAATCCCTCCTTTCCAGGATGAAGAGGAGTCATTATTGATCACTCTATGGGATAAGTCAGTGAGCCAATTATAATTAGTAAAACCAAAACGTGCCACACTGTAATGCAGGTTTGACAGAGCTCAGATTGTACCAAACTAAAAGAATTCCAGTGCTGCATAAAAAGAAAGGAGAGAAAAAGCAATTAGAGGTTAAAAAAGCACAATCCATTCTAAGGAGTGTGTAACAAATCCGGAGCCAAGTTCAGAGTACATGTTCCAAAAGGTCCAGCCCAGTGCATTGTCTTGGGAAGTATCTATAAATAGTTGACTTTTCCTCCCAATTTTCTGGAATATAGAAAGCTTGTTCTTCTCTAAAGTGTAGGCAGGAGACAGATATTTAAATCTGGAAGTGATTGAAAATAATCTTTTTAAAAAAGCTGGCTTTGACTTAACCTGGAATAGTCCCTTGATTGTCTTAGTTTTCAAAATGGAGTTCTAGTATCTACAGTCAGGCAGAATGGAGAACAAACTGCGCAAAGTTAATGCAGTTTATACAGCCAATGTAGATGAAGTGAAGCTGAGAGCAGAGTTTGGATTTCCTTGATGCTACAAATTATCCAGTTGACAAATGTCAGAGAACCAGGAAAAGGACAACGTACTACATGTGCACTACATGACCAGACTCAGTATCATAAAACAAAATTGATGATTTCCTAGTAATTCGGGAAATACAGCCCTTCTACCTAACTACCTTTTGTTGGGGATCCATCAACATTCTCAACCAATGACAATTGGGGCATTTTGCCAAAATAAGATGGGACTAAAATGGGAGTATCTAGTTTTGGGCTATTCAATGGCAGTAACAAGACCAATCATGTTACTTTGACTGCCTAGTGTTGTGTCTGATTTCCACCCAGGAGTGAACACTGCAGAAGAACAGCCTAAATCATTTCAAGGAGAACAGAAGAAGACAATCCATGATTGTGTAGTCTAGATACTTGGTCTGTGATAACTAAAATGGGAAGCATGGGCAGAATAAATAAATTCCGTTTGGCTCTGAAAGAGGAATGGAAAATACAGCCATCACTGGGTTGTAGGTTTTTTCGGGCTATACGGCCATGTTCTAGAGGCATTCTCTCCTGATGTTTTGCCTGCATCTATGGCAGTGAGGTCTGTTGGAACTAGGAAAATTGGTTTATATATCTGTGGAATGACCAGGGTGGGACAAAGGACTCTTGTCTGCCGGAACTAGGTGTGAATGTTTCAACTAACCACCTTGATTAGCATTTGATGGCCTGGCAGTGCCTGGGACAATCTTTTGTTGAGAGGTGATTAGATGTCCCTGATTGTTTTTCCTCTGTTGTGTTAGGCTGAACACAACAGAGGAAGTGAAGGCTACCCATCTGATGTCTTGGCCTACAACTCCTGTCATCCCAATCAGCATGCTATCTGTCTCACTTTGTTCTCACTGAAAGTGTACGTGTATAGGTGGTGCTGCTGGTGGGGGGGGGGGGGCTAGATGGATGGAAATGGAGAAGGGATGTTGTGTAAATTCCCCCAAAAGGGAGCTGAGTGAGTGAAAATATCACCCATTTGCTCTGTTAACTAGCAATGTCACATGCTACTGTCAACATCCTAATAAATGTATTTATTTAGTTATGTATTTACTGTATTTGTACACCGCCCTTCTCAGCCCGGGGGCAACTCAAGGCAGTTTACAGAGGCAACAATTCAATGCCCAACAACACCATAAAATACATTTAAAAACAGTAACATATAATATAAAATCATAACAAGATCAAAATCTTGACTTTTTTCCAGAATGTTAAAAGGGAGGGGGCGATCTAATGTCCCTAGGAAGGGCATTCCATAGCTGAGGGGCCACCACTGAGAAGGCCCTGTCTCTAATCCCCACCAAACATACTTGTGACGAAGGCGGGATCAAGAGCAGGGCCTCACCAGACAATCTTAAAGTCCTAGATGGTTCATAAGGGGAGATGTGTTCGGGGAGATAAGTTCAATTAATATGTCATGTGTCCTCCATAGATCATAAGTGAAAATTCAGAAAAGTTAAACTCAATCTAGTCATGCCATCATAAAATACCAGAGCCCCCGGTAACACAATGTGCTGACATGACTGCTCATCTGAAGATTAGGTTGCTGGCCTGAAGGTTGCTGGTTTGAATGCAGGGAGAGCGCAGATGAGCTCCCTCTGTCAACTCCAGCTCCCCATGCGGGGACATGAGAGAAGCCTCCTACAAGGATGGTAAAACATCAAAACATCTGGGCATCCCCTGGGCAACGTCCTTGCAGATGGTCAATTCTCTCACACCAGAAGCAACTTGCAATTTCTCAAGTTGCTCCTG